GTTGCACTTTTTACTGTGCTAGAGCAAGTTTTGCTCCTTTCACACTCCTCTGTTCTGACCTGAGCTCAGAGTCTGTCTGAAATTGTCTGGGGTACTGAAGCACCGCATACCCTTTTCTTAGCTGACAGAAGTGTACAGGACATAAACAGAGCAGTGAAACCTTTGCTGGCTGAAGTCTTCCTCTGTAAGAACTATAGGCTTGAGGATTCATCTGACAAAACCCTTCAATTGAATTGGAGGCTGCATTGGTTCAGGCAGAAATTGCTTTTTGTTATAAAAGCTGACACTGTTTTCTTAGTGTCAGTCAACCAATAATCATTTCATAGGCATATCAGTAGTTGCTTCTTATAAGCCTTCATGATATTTTCTTTGGGAAATTTGTAAACAGTTGATTTTTATGTCTCTTTAGCAAATTTCATTATGAAAATACATTGCCTTCTGTATGGGCAAGGAGGTAGATTACCTTTCACTGTCAGGCACCTGTGAAGAGCTTTGATCATAGCACTTGGATTTAGAGCAACCTCCTCAGTATTCTGCATGGCAGCATTGTTTGTTAGTGAGATGTTCCTATGAATGGGCTTTCTCTGTACTCAGTGTAGTAACTGAATGTTGTTTATTCTGTTAATATCGCTTGAAATGTGTAAAGCTGCTGCTATGCCTCCTGCAGCAATGGTCACTGCCTGGAGGTAGCTTGTGTCATACTGCTTCTGAGAGCTGTAGCAGAACCTCACATGCTGATGTCAGACTTGCTGTTAAGTGTCATGTGCCTGGCAGGACCTTAGCATGCACACACCATTGTGCTGAAGACAGTATTTGAGCTCTTAATTCAAGCAGATCATCTTGGATTTTCTGGATGTTGGGTTGCTCTTTTTTCTTCCTCCTCTGTTACAGGGCATCTGATCTTTTGTACATGTTAATGGAAACAAAGCCTGTTTGGTGAGAGAAGAGTTCAAGTCTGTAACATGCACTTTAGTTACCCAGCCCCTTTGCTGTGGTTCAGATGTCTGTGCCAGGCTTTCTTAGTAAGTGTTCCTGCAAATTGTATTAAAGTCACCAACACCAAGCAGTATTCATTCTTAAGCTCTGGAGAGTATTTCAAGTATGTGAACTGTGGCACGAGTAGCTATGGGTGAATACTGCCTAGGAAAAGAGTTTGCTGTACTTATCACCCCTGGAAATGGGACCACATGTGTCTCAAGGAGGTTCTGTTTTCTTAGTCATCATTATCCTGAAGGTGAAGTTCATCTCAAGAGTTGCCATTCTAAAGGAAGGGTTGGAAGTGCTTTAGATGGCTGACTGTGAAAATGCAGAGCTGTATTCAGCTGCACATTGCCAGCACACATACGTGTCTCAAGGACATAACTGCTCTGGTTCGATTACTGACAAACTTTTCCTCTTCAGGGATTATTCAGTAAAGTAAAACTTGACTTTATAAAATGTTTTTGAGATGCAGGGAAAATGGCAACAATGAAAGTGATTGTGCAAAAATTGCATATGAAAAAATGGAGGAAGTATACTGGAAAACTACTACTGAGTTCTCAGTGCACTTTTTGCTGCTTTTCATTTGAGTGTTATTAAAATAACTAAGTAATACTTAAGTAATATGGTAGTAGGTTTAAGTATGTGAATGACACCAACTTTTTCCAAATTATATAGTGATTACTTTGAGAAAAATCTCTGCACTGGCCTAAAAAGAGTGGGGCAAGACTCTTTCAGCTGTACTCATGTGTATCCAAACTCATTTGTTTAACAGGATTTGGTACTGTTCCTCCCGACTTGCCCAGTGGTGTAACTTGAAGCTTGACTTACACAGATTAGGTTGCAGGTATAGAGGAGATGTCTCTTCTAATGTTTGTACACCTGTTTAAATGTTAAATTTGTTTGGTTAAGCAAGGTTTGCATAGTTAACAGCTGTTGCTTCAGGAAACACCAGTTTGTTGTTTGCTTTCCTCTGTTGCTCCCCTCACCTTTCCCTGCCACAGCCTGTTCTGTGAACTGCAGACCTTGTATTCTTGTATTTGGGTACCAGCCACTTTGAAGACAAGATGACTCTGATTGGGGGCTAGCCTGTGCAGATATTTATCTTTAGTGACCAAAACTCTGTTATGAGTGAGCTGATTGATTGATTTATTTTTTTTTTTTTTTTAAGCTGTAGATTTTAATTTTCCTGAGCTTTGATTATTCTGAAGTCATCTACAATGCATCTATCTGTTAGGAGGGAGCACAAAGCTTTTTTTAAGAATTTTTTAAATTTTTAAAGCTTTTTTAAGAATTGTGTTTGTCCTTTTAAGTACTGTTCTTCAGAGCTAAATCAATTGAATGCTCCTGCCCAGCTTAGACTATTAGTTAGCTTTTGGTAGGAAGTTTTCTTTTGAATGATATGTGCCTGCTTTTTATACATACACATGGTTACTGTATGGTAACAGTGGAACATACCCATCTGTAATTAGAGTTGTATATATTTTCTGTAGTCATCTGTCATGTTACTTAAGCAACAGAAAACATGGAGTGACTTAGTAGGTACAAAACTTTGAAAAGAACCTTATTGTGTTGGCATTAACACAACTGTTAGAGTAAGAATTGTGTTTGGACCAGCTAACCATGAAGTTGGTAAGTGGTAGAACGTTCTTAATAAATGTTGCAGCTTGGTTGCAGTCAGAAAAATTTTTCCTTTAGTTTAGTCACAGCAATCTGATATCCAGTGGAATACTCTTCTGATATAATGTCTGCCAATGCTTGATTTTTTTTCATTAGTACTGCTTGGGCCATTCACTTTTAGGTCTAAACTGTTAACTTGATTAACCCATATTTTTAAGTCACAAGGTAATGCTGAGATGTGTTTAATTATGTCCTATATTAAAGGAAGGTTATTACACATGAGACAAAAAATACTTACAGTTGGAAGAAATTAAAAAGTACTTCAGGGAAGTAACGTCATTTATATAACTGGACTATGTTACATGCTTTAAGCCTGGATGCATGATTTCACTCAGTTGACTTAGTTAATAGGATCTATGTTGAAGTCCAGCCACCTGAAATTTCTGTAAAATATCATGCTGGATATTTGATTATACGTATAATACATGGTTCTGCTGAGTGGTTGTAGCAATACGAAGTCTGTAGGCTGTAGTGATAGAAATGCTGTCATGTTTCCTTTTAGAAGACATCCAGTTAAAGTAATATCTGATTTCCATGAAGTATAGTAGGGATTTGTAGTTGCTTGAAGAAAAAACTAAGTGATAGATGCATCTTAACTGTTTGGTTTTTAGTTGATCTTGATTTTTTTTTTTTTCACTTGCCCCACCGATTCTGCTTGTATCTCATTACTGCTTGATTTTGGAAGATGCAGCAGTGTCTCATTAGATGGCTCGGAGTTGGGGATGGGAAAGATAAGAGGAAAAGGAAAATGGTTAAAGAACATAAGTTGTCTTGGAAAATGTAGTTCTCTGACCTCTAACCTTGTACATACAAATAAGAGAACCCCACTGAACTTAGCTGCTTGTGGGTTGTAGTAAGAGCTTTATGCATAGCAATCCATTGTGAAAGGCAGATCCTGTAGCTAAAGCATTTGATTATACTAGTCCTTCATGATTTCTGAATAGTAATGCTGTGGATGCTGGTTGACCTGGAAGGTTTATTGGTGGTAGAGAAAGGACCAGGCATAATGGAAAGGTGCTCTTGGCACTTCTAGGAAGCTTCAGTAAAACAGCAACTGGGAAACAATTTCTCTTTTTTTCTTGAAGAGAGTAACTTAATGATCCTTGTTCCTTGGAAACCAAAACCAAACACAAACAAAAAAAAACCCAAAAAACCCAAAATCTGAAACCAAGACAACCAAACAAAATAATACCTCAAAACTCCTGTCACTGGCTGTCTGGCCTTTGCAAGGCATACGGAGCTGCAGGTGCTCTGTTGTTAAAACTCCAACTCATGCTGATGCCCAGTAGTTATAGTGGGGGAATGTTCAGTGCTAACTGGATGGGGAAAAGTAAGGTAGAGTTGTGCTTTCTGCTCTAAAAATATTTTTTTCCTTGTGTAATGGAACGTTATATGCTACTGGATAGACTTGGTCACTTGCACAGCTCAGACAGGTTCTGCAGTATGGTGAGTTTCCTTGCACTGTCTCGAAAAGGTATGTAGAGAAATGGGTTGTAAGTAATGTGTTCAGAGAGTGAGGACTTTGTAAGATCAAGAATCTTAATCTCTTTTAGGTTTGTTTTGGTAACTTGACAGCATGGGTGGCTTACTTTAATTTGAAAATGGAATGGTTAAATCGTCATGTTGTCTTGGAGACTTTTTTTCTGAAGTTGTATTCATGCCCATTGTGGATTTGATGTGAAGATTACAAGAAATTACATATGACATAGATGATTAAGTCTAGTGTAGTATGTTTTTGTTTTAAGGTAGAAGAAATAGTAGTTATGTTTTAGTGTTACATATATATGTTTGTTACAATATTTATATATGTAAAATATAGGGGAAAAAAACCCAGAAAAAATTAATCTGAAAAAGTGTGTATTGTTCTGGAGGATTATTTGTAGCTGAGTGTAGAGTGGTTCTGAACTAGGAAGTGAGGCGTTTTAAAAATGGCACTGTAGAATTTCTCTCGTATTTGACTTTGTCTCCTCCAACACTTAAATTCCATGTTTTGATGAAGGCTAAGTACCTGATCAAGTGCTTGTAACTGAGATGAATGATTGCCTGTTCATGGTGCTGATGTTTGTATAGATTGTAAATTCTCTGTTAGTTCATCTGATAATAGAGGCATTAGTGATGAAAGCGGGACTATCAGCCTTTTGGGTTGGTGATAGCTCTTTTGTTTCATACAACTCTTTATCATAACACAAACAATGTATTTCCTCTGTGTTCTAAATATGCCTTTACTTTGTTATCTTTGAATTACTTTCTAACACTGGCTTTTACAAGACTACTTCCAGCTTTTTAGTCATGATCTGTGATATTCTGATGAAGTACTAAGATGAAAATTTTCTAACCTGCAGCACAGCCAAGTACAGTGTGGTGACATTTCTACCTCGATTCCTGTATGAGCAGATAAGAAAAGCTGCAAATGCATTCTTCCTCTTCATTGCCTTATTGCAGGTATTGTTTTATTGCTTTGTCTTGTTTATAAATTGAAATGGTAAGGCAATACAAGTTATTTCAGTTATTATGCTTAACTGCAAATAAATTCTTAAATATATTTTAATAGTCATATTAATTAGGTATGTGTTAGATAATTGAAATTGGAAGACAATTTAGATACTCTTTTCGAAGTAGTTTGTAAAGTCAAGCTCCTTTTTTTCTTATGAAGTAAAACATGTCATAAAACATGGTGACCATAGTGAGAAAAGAATGTGTGAATTCTTGTGAAACTGCTGTTTAGATAGTTCAGGTTATCCCTACTTCCATCTGAATTGCATCATTTGAATGCTTTTCTTGTGAAGAGAAGAGAAATAGAATAAAAGGCAGGTTACAGCAACTGTATCTTGTAACTTTATGGTATCCTTTCTTCAAACCTACTGAGACCGTAGGCTAGTTTGCCCACTGAAATTGGGTGACAGTCAGGCACAAATCAGAAAGCTCTGTGTTCTCTCTTCTGAGAGCTTTACATAAAATTCTAATTTACTGGAAATTAATTTTAAATACAAATATAAAATGGGTATCTCTTTTCCCTTTGTTCACAGCAAATTCCAGATGTCTCTCCAACAGGAAGGTATACCACCTTGGTGCCATTGCTATTTATTTTAACAGTTGCTGGCATCAAAGAAATCATAGAAGACTATGTGAGTATGGTTATGGGGAAGGCTGTGCTAATGTTCAAAAAAAAAAGCTATAAAATGCCATAAAGCCATGCATCTCTGTAGTCTTGAGTCATTGCTTAACAGCAGCAAAAGATCCTTTTGACTTTCGAAGCTCTAAACTTGACTAGAATTTCTGTAGCCCACTGAGATAAATAAGTATTTTCATTACACATGATGAAAAAGAAAACAGTAGAAATCAGGATGCTTGTTTTTACCTCTTCAAACTTGCTTGTTCATGCTTTTATTAGAAAGACACTGAGTGTGTGATGCTGGAGTCCTGACAAATATGTAGCCTTTTTAGATGGTCTGGAAAATGCGGGCAGGGAGGAAGCAAGCAACCTGAGCACAGAGCATCCAGTTTTGGGGAAATCTGCACTAACATGCTTGGATACCATTTATCAGAAAAAATGCTTTCTGCTTGCAAAGTACTGATAAATAAAATTATTTAGGTGTCAGTCTAAACAACAGCACATAGAATGTGTAGTACAACTGCTATCTAAGTATAGTGCTCCTTATTGTTCCTTTTTTCTTCCAAAAAACTAGTTTGAGACATACTTTTTTGGCATTGATACAGGTTTGAACCTGACTTCCAATGTGGGTACTCTCAGTTTGAAGTTACATTATACTGTTTTATAAGCCACTAGATTTGGATGATCTGTGTGGCTTAAAAAAACCCCAAACAACAAAAAAACAAAACCAAAAGCAAACCAATAAAAAAAGTATAAAGGCAAAAATGACCCAGTGTATCATCTTGCAGTTTGTCTTGTTTTAGCTCTAATGGTTTTGGAATTTGTAATGAAGTGTAATGAGGTGTAATAAATGTTTTGTTTCCTTGCAGAAAAGGCATAAGGCAGACAGTGCAGTGAATAAAAAGAAAACAGTAGGTAAGACTAAACACTCTTTAAATATTTAAAGTGCAAATAGTGAATACTTACTTTTGAACAATTCTGTTGTTTTAACAATGATAGTGGGAAATGCATGTCTTGTGGACTTGGTAGTTACCTTTATTTTAGGATATGTTAGGATTTTGCTTTGCAGAATGTTTTAGACTGATGATTGTCTGACACTTAAAGGTGAGGCATTGGGGGGATTGTTAGAATTTATAAGTTCATGTAATGTCAAGGTTGTCCAAAGGTATATAGTTCTCAGGTCCTCTGAGAAAATCAAGCAATTTTCTTCTCTGCCAGACTCCATCCTTCCCCCCCCCAAAAAAAAGCCAACAAGCCCCCGAAACACTACAAGTTGGTGTCTAAAGAATTCTAAGTCATTTTTGTAAGTTCTGCTGTCCATAAAACATAAGAAGTCTGGGAATTTTGTAGCTTTGCTTTCCTGAAGCGTCACTGAAATAAATTTTAACACTGATATCTTCTGAATGCCTGTGAGTATCCCTAACGTATTAACGCTCATTGGCACTCTGTACCTGAAGACATCACTTTGATTTTCTGCATCTCCCTTAACCGAAAACCTGTACAGAAAATAGGTAGAGCTTATCAATGGCCACCCTGTGATCGGCCCATGCCATAGGGCAGGTCCATGTTCCCACGCTGGACAGCTTCTCTTCTGTTCCTTTGTGCAGATGTGCAGGTGAAACAGGAACACAGGGATTTGAACTCTGAGTAGAGCCCCTTCCTCCCAAACACATATACGTGAAGTATCAAAAAGATAGAGCAACACTTCAGGGAACATGGGGAAGTGAACAACCTGCTAACTCTATGCTTCAGTAGTCCTGCAAACATTATGTCCGTTACTCTAAGTGAATTTGGTGCTTGAAAATTTGGGTTGGTCATTAAGTTTGTATCTTCATCAAAAAGCATTGCTTTACCAGTTCTCCGAGGTAATCTCTCTAAAAGAGTCTCTACAAGGTGTTTCAAGTGCTGTATACACTTGAAACTTGTTTCAAACACTGTATTTATTAGTCATTGCAAATTGGCAATTAAGTTCGTGTAACATAACAGACCTTGTTAGAGGTAATAAGAAAGGTCCTTTCTAAGGTTACAGAGCCAGTTGTAATTCATTTGTAGCTAGAGAACATGTGATAACAAACACTTCAAGGGAAGTTTATCACAGTTACTGTGGAGAGACAACCTTAAGGAAGACAAGGTATTTTAATGGAGCTAGGTTGAACTTAGCACTTGAAAAATTATTTTAGTTCAGGGTTTTTTTTTTTACATTTGAATACTCAAAATAAATTTTCCATCTGATACTTAAAACAATATCCTTGTACTTCTTAAGAGGAAGGTTAAAGAGCTCATCCTTGAAACGTGTATTATCAGAATGAAAAGCTAATTTAGATTCAGAGTGGGTTTAAGATGAATTAAATTTAGGTTCTCTGTGTGCCTTTAGGTTCCTCTTATAGCCGAGTGATATCTAATCAATGCATTCAGTATAGAGAGCAGTTGAGCTCACTGAGAAGTAGACACCTGCTCTCTGCTTGACTGTGTCCTGAGCTCCACTGCCTGTAAAGGCCAGTTGCTTATTTCAGCAGCATTTATGTAGGATTTTCATTTATCTTCATGTTTGGTTTTTTAGAGCAGTGGTGTATCTTCAAAAGGCCTTTGCTGTATTAAATTTATCATGGAAAACATTGGTTTGCTTTGCAGAGTGGCTTCAGTATGTAGGAACTAAATTCACTTCGGAGCAAACTAAACTGAAAGTTCTGCTCTAGGTGAGCACTGTAAGTTTCCATTAGGAGATGGAGCCTGTTAGGCTCTGAGCCAGTGTTTCATATCTTTGGTGGCTTTACATGTTTGTATATGGAGATGGTGCTGAATCAAACCAGACTAGTTGTAATCCAGATGAAGCCCCTGAGCAGCACATTGCGTAGATGTAGAGGGCTCAGTAATAACTGTTCTGATGTATTGGTCCTCCCATTGTCAAATAACAGAACTAAGTCATGAGCATTTAAAGCTATATGGGGTGCACTTGAATGGTAGACACACACAGGGCTAGCAAACTGTGGCACAAGTCTGATGGGAGATGCTTGTCCTTCAGGAGCCGCACTTGAAATGACCCTACATGCCTTGGTGTGAGTGACAGCATTAAGTCATAGATCTGGAACATCAGTAGACTGGGTTTTAGTCTTAGAAAGTCTTAGATAGAAGGTTTATATTGAAACTCTTTTTGAGTTGGAACAGTCTTTTTAGGTACTTGTCCTTCATTACTTTAACCAGGTACCTTTTGACAATGAATAATTTATCAATTTTATCCTGTAAGTATTCTAGAGCAGACCTGTCCTTTCCTGTCCTTTGGAGTTAAGCACAATAGAAGGTGCAAAATTGCAACCCAAAAATTTCAATGTGAACTTCAACAGCTGGGATTTTCTTTCTGCTGAATTTGGTCGTTGGTTTTCAGCAGGGCTTTGAACCTGCTTGGCATTTAAGACTCAGACAAGGCATTTAAGACATGGGCAATTGGTAATGATAGTGAAGGTGAATGTATCAGAGTCAAAATATTATGAATAAAATGCCAGGAATAAGATGAGAAGTGAAAATTCTGTGGTAAATCATTCACAGATGATTCCTGATACTCATTGACAGTGGGCAGTAATGCCCTTTGTTTTAAGGAAGGTCACTTCCCACAAGAAACAATGCTGCCTGTCTGCAGGTTAGTGTGAAATGATGCCAAGAAGAAATCAGGCTGCCAACTGTTGTCTAGCAGGGGATAAAAATTATATAAATATGAAGGGTAGATTCTTCATCTTTCTTGGATTCATGTGCCTACAGCTGTGGACAAAAGTATTGTCTCAGCTTCTGAAAAGTACAGTTCTGATCTGTACGTTAGTTCCTATTCTGGTCAGTGTTTGCTGATATAGTTGTTTCGAGATTTGTCTGAACTGTGACCATTTATTCTATAATATAACTTTAAACTTTCTTTCCAGTTCTAAGAAATGGGATGTGGCAGAACATTATGTGGAAAGAGGTAAATAAAATCTGGGGATGGGAGGGAATAAAAGTAGCTGTTGAAGAATTACTCTTGCCAAAATGAATTTGGAGGCTTAGAATTAATGTACAGGATGTGAGAGTTCTCTGTCTCTTGGGATGGGGCCGGTGGGAGGGATCCATTCCCTTGCAGTAGTCAAAATCGCCCTGAGCAAGTCACCTGAGTACCCATCTTTAAAACCTAGTACTATGTTACAGTCAAATGCTAATGAACTGTTGTGGTTTTGCTTGTGTAGTTAATATGCAAACTGTAAAGAGTATTTTGTTTGTAGTCAACATCTAGAAGAGTAACTTTCACTGCAATAGTGTACCTCCCCTGCAAGTCTAAAAGAGTCTTACTTTGCTGCCTGTGCTAAAAGGTTCCCAGATTTTGAGACTAATTAGTAAGCTGCTTGTTCAAATAAGGAACACAAGTCCTGCTGCTACTGAGGCACTTGGGACCCGTGTTCTGTGAAGCCCTCTGCCAGGATCTGGTGAGCTTTGTCTCTAGAACTTGGAAGTTGCTGAAATGCCTTAGGATATATCGATCTAATTGTGGCTCTTAATGCCTTTAAAAGGATAAAATTAGCCCTCTTAGCTAATAGTTGAGGAGAAAGTGCCCGCTGTTAAAACCTCTGGGAAATTACATCAGTCTCAAGACACCTAAAAGCAATCCTGCTGAAGTGTTAGGCTATAGGAGAAACTAAAGATTGCCAGGGCTTGTGGTGGCTAGTGTTGGATCCTGTTCATGCTGTTCCATGTCCTATTTTTGTAGAGAAAAGATGGTGAATTGATCTTAAAGCTGAGCCTGGAATCTGTTTTTTTTAAATAGCCTTGAGCACTTCCTGAATTGACCTGTGACTGTATTTGCATATTGTCCAGGCCTGCATTTATTGTTGGGGAATAACAGTTCTGTGCTAACCACTTTGATCACTTTAAGGCAGACTTCTGATGGTTGGTTTTTTTTTTTTTGTGCTGAAATTGATAGGGAATTTATTTTCAGTGGGATCACAGTAAAACTAATGAATCTGCTTGTTCAAACATGCCATCTGTTTCAATTTGTAAAAATTAATGTCTTAGAAGTATTTTAAGCCCATTTCAGACTTGCAGCAGTGCATTGGCACCAAGCAGCCTGATGCTCATCAGGCAAACCTGTTTTACTGTTTTGAGAGTGCTACTTGCTTCTTTTTAGAATGAAAGTCCCATGCATGTGACTAATTAAAGGTGAAGTAAAGTCTTGGGCCTTCAGTATTCTAGAGTTCTGAACTCTGCATGTCTCATGTAACTATGTCAGGGAAGAACTGGATTATGTTATATATCTGTAGAGATGATACTACTTGCTAGTGGCTACTACAAGCAGTGCATCTATGGGGAATTAAGGGAAAATGATAGTGAGGATTGGGTGGGTATGAGTAGAGTATGAGTAGAAGAGTATGAGCAGAAGAAACTCTTGATACTTGAGGGAGGTGAAGTTTAAAAATGGATTTTGTTTCCCCTAGTGACAAAGTTTTCAGTATGTTAAATAAGGCTAAAGAAAAACCCTTAAATTTGGATAATGGCAGAATGAAAGAAAAAACTAAGTTTTATTAAATATAAGCCACAGAAGTTAACAATTGCAGTGAAAAGTACTCTGACTTTCAGAAGCACTGTCTCTAGCTGTTCTGTGCATGATGCTGTTCTTCTGACTGGGTGAAAGAAAATAACAAACTAACATTCCAGACAAGCAAACTGTTTGTTTTTCTTTTCCATGCTACTGTGCTCCTGACCACAGGTAGCAGTAGGCGATATTGTGAAGGTCACCAATGGGCAACATCTTCCAGCAGACATGATCATTATATCTACCAGGTATCCAGAATGGGTGTGGAAATGATGTGTCTGATGAACTGAGGTGCAGAGGACTTAAGTCTCTGTATTTGCTATTAATAAAACCAGACATCAGATGGCACTAATTCTACTCCACATCTAAAATCAAGTTTCAACAATGTCAAAACACTGCTTTAGTAGGCAATGATTCACGTATCATTGTAGATAGGCTCTTCGAAAAGAAGGCTTCTTCAAGACTTCACTTTGTGAATTACAGGTACATAATACTATGTATTGATGAGTTTGTTGGAAGACTGAAGGTTCTTTACACAAGCTTCATGCAGTCTGTGGCTCTATGGCCTCCTGAGAATCCCTCCACTTAATTAAGGAAGCTTAAGTTGTCTTCCAGTTAATTCCACTGAGTGTTCAGCACATTTTCCTTCCCCCCAGGAATGCTTTCTCTTTAAATTATAAATCTAAAAGGCTAGTGTTGTTGGCATCAAATAACAAAATACCTTTTTGACTTGTTTACCGCTTGTCTTGGATACAACGCACATATGGCCAATCTCTGACATGGTAGCAAATAGTTGCCTGTTGAGTCCTGCTTGGTTTGGTTTGAAATATGGGGCAACTTTTCATTCAGATATGCTGACAAATGAAGCTTGGTCTTAGAATATCCTGAATTGGAAGGCACCCACAAAAATCATAGAAATCCAACTCCAAGTCCTGGGTAGGACACACCAAGAATCACACCATGTGCCTGAGAGCATTGTTCAAATGCTTCTTGAACTCTGGCAGGGCTGGTGCTGTGGCCACTTCCCTGGGAAACCTGTTCCAGTGTCCATTCACCCTCTTCAGTGGGTGAAGAATGTTTCTGTAATAGCTAACCTAAATCTTCCCTGGCACAGATTCATGCTGTTGCCTTGGGTCTTGTCATTGGTCATCAGGGAGAAGAGATCAGTGCCTGCCCCTCTGCTTCCTCTTGTGGGGAAGTTGTAGACCATAGTGAGGTCTCCCTTCAATCTTTTCCTCTCCAGGCTGAGCAAGTCAGGTGTCCTCAGCTGCTCCTCATACAACTTTCCCTCAAGGCCCTTCACCATCTTTGTTGCCCTCCTTTGAACACTCTCTAATATCTTTATATCTTTCTTATGTTGTTGCATCCTGAACTGCACACAGGATTTGAGGTGTGGCTTCACCAGTGCAGAGCAGAACTGGACAATCACCTCCTTTTTACTGGCTGGTGATGCTTTGCCTGATGCCCCCCCCAGGCACAGTTGGCCCTCACGGCTGCCAGGGCACTGCTGACTCATGGTTAACTTGTTATTGACCAGGACTCCGGGGTCCCTTTCCGTGGCACTGCTTGCCAGTGTCTCATTCCCCAGTCTGTGCATACATCCAGGGTTGCTCTGTCCCAGGTGTAGAATCTGGCACTTACCTTTGTTAAACTTCATATGGTTGGTGGTTGCCCAGCCTCCTAATTTGTCTAGATCTCTTTGTTCCTAAAAGCATTTGAGTGGTACTTGGCTTCTGATCTAGATTCTGTGTTGTGTAGAACAACTTCAAGCCAAATCAAGACCATAGCCTGCTTAGACAGATGAAGTTTAAACATAAGACAATATCACACAATATTGTGATGGTAATAGCAGACAGTAGCACAGTGCCTGTTCTTAAACATGTTTCTAATAGATGAGTCTTATGACACCTTGCTGTTCTCCATAATTTTCTCCTGTCTGTGTGCTTTTCAACAGTGACTGTAGGTTGCTCTAGTCTGTAGGTTACAGTTCTCTTACCTAACCCAACTTTTAAAGGAACTTGTTTTTCAAGCTTCTCTATTTTCTGCTCCATTCTTCTTGTCTATACTGTTTCTGAGAAGTTTCATTTTTTTCAAAGCTATATGTACAAGCTCAGTCTTCTTAAATTGTCACATGATGAAGGATAGAGACATCTTCATTCCATGGTATACAGTATTGTATTTTTTTAAAACACCAAACTTCAAATAAGCAGTTGTCAACCTTAATATGCAGTGAAGCTAAACTTCAACATCAATAGTTTTCTATTTCAGCAATGAGGAATATTCTACTTAAGAAATTCTTTAATACGTTACACTAAAAAACCCTTCTGATATATTTCTTGTGTGGGTCAGCTTTTTGTTCTACATTAGTCTACTATTCTGTTCCGCTAACCTGCTGTCATTAATAACTGCATAATAATTAGAGAATTTAACCCAAGGCATGTTTATTTGGGAGAAGCTTTGCTTGATATAAATAGCAATTTCTATGGCAATGCTGCTTTACAATTGATATTATTCTCATGATTCCTTTAAATGACAGTACTAAGTGTCCTCAGTTCACCAGAAAGCTCTGCATGCTCTGAAGGATTTGAGTCTTATGCTTGTGTGTTGATCTTCTGTGTCTGAGCTGATTGTCAGAGGTGAAACAAACAATTGTTTTTATCTTGACTCTTTTTCCACATAGGAAAAAAGGTGACATCAAATGAATTTTATGTAAAGAATAAATTTACATGAAGGAAAAAACCATTTGAATCCGAACGCAACTTTGTATGGAAACAATTCCACATTTCTGTAGAAGTGAGAGGAACTGTATTGCAAAAGGTCTACCTCCTGACCTAAGCACGTCAGTTGTAGTAGATAAGGTGTTTGGCAGAGGTAAAATTGGAATCAAGCTGGACTTCATCAATATCTTTCTTGGGTTCAGACTCAGGTTGCCCATATAGGAGGAGACAAAGAACAGACTCTAACCGTACTTTTTTAAAAGAAAAATATGGAGAGAATAATCTAGTTTCTTACTGTGTTACAAATGTACCTATCCATTTCTTAATTATTTTTGTCCTAAGGAGCCTTTATTACTGACTCTTCTGCTGATTGAGTACTTTTGGTGTTAAAGCAGTTTGTTGCTTTAAAAGAAAACTAGTAATGTATCAAGAATATGGGAAGTGATATGCTGAAAAGCACTTGTTTGAATCCAGATGGGAAACTGATATTCCTTAGCAGCCTGAGAAGACAATTGGCAGAAAAATAGTTTTGGTGATTCCATACAAAATTTTTAAATCTTGAGTGGTATGTCAGGAAAAGAACTGGTAGAAGTACCCTTCCTTATCAAAGGTGCTACTCATGCAGAGCCCCTTCATGTTAGATGTAGATAAGAGCTTAACTAATGGAAAATTCAGCTCTTTGAGGAATATTTGTGCTGCTATCATTAAGGGCAGAAACATCTTTGGAAGATGCAGATCACAGCCCTCAATCTTATACTCAATGAACCTTTTTCTGATGCACAAAAAAAAAGCTGTTTTAGCACTGACTTCAGATGAACCTCCAGAAGCCCCTCAACTTTAAGGTGACCTTGCAGACATGGTCTTTTGTGTGTTCAACTCACTGACAGAATTTAATAGCAGAGAGCATTACCCTCTTCATCCCAATATATCCCTTTTTATAGTGTTCAATACTTGATATTTTGTCCATAGTTCTTGCAATCTGAAACAATTTTATGGATTGCAATTCAAAATAATCCACTTCAGGCATCTAAGTTTATCATGACTTGTTAAATTCTTACTAACCCTCTGATTTAGACTTGTCTTTCTCTGTACTTTGGTGTATTACCCTGTTCCTATCCAAAGACATCTCTGTTAAAATATGTACTTTCAGCTGACTCTTTCATGGTTGGATACCACCAATATGGTTTTCTACCTTATGCAGTGTATTGGAAAAGTCTCTTGTGAATTATATTAGTACAAAAGCAGTATACAAAAAGTACTGAGTTTTAATATTGAAAATTTTATGCTCCTTCCAGTGAACCACAAGCCATGTGCTATATTGAAACAGCTAACCTCGATGGGGAGACGAACCTTAAAATACGACAGGTAAAACAAATTGAATTTTATCTTTGATTTTTTCATTTAGGTATTTAATATTAGCTATGAAGCATCATCTACCATAACTGACAACAGTACAAGTACTTTTTTTTGTTAAAAAGGGATCTCTTTTCAGGTGGCTGTAAGCTGCCTTTTCAACCGATACAAACCCAAGCAACAGCGCATCATATACAAGTGTACAGAAACTAATCTGGAGCAAGTATTTTAAGCCCTCAAAGACAAACAGACCTCTATTTTGCCAAAGGTCCAGTAAGTGGGATTTAAGTCCTGTACATAAAAAAGAATATCAACAGTGCTTGTGATGAGAGGTGCAGTTTCTTCTGTCACAAGTGCCATTCTAGGAGCATTATGCAGAGGCAGAAGCTGAGAAGGACCTTTTATATGTTTAAGTTAATTTATCTCTTTGCAGTAAGTAAGAATGTATTTGGATCTTTTTAATTTGATTATAATCAACACTGTTGATTATAGTGTTTAGAAATAGTTAAGAATCTTCTTTTTTTATTAAAAAAATTAGATTCAGATTTTGAAACACAGATTATTTGTTTTTAAAAATCTGTATATTTGCTATCTCTTTCCTGCATTTGTAGAAATGTGATTTACTGTTGCAGTTCTGCCTAAAAAGTCAGGTCTTGAGTTTCTGTAAGGTCTTACTTGCTTCAGGACACATGGTTAAAATACAAAAATACGGCCTTGCTCTGGCTTGCAGTGCTGCAGTCAGATTCCGGCAAAAGAAGCACGAAACGGATCTCTCTGTTCATAGATGAAAAGCAGTGAAACGCTGAGATGGAGTACCAATACATTAGATTACACTTGCATGGCAGGTGAATCATTAACCTTGAGCAGGATTGGAGCATAATGGCTGCAGTGGCCCAAGAGACTACATTTAGCAATGACTATATTTAACAGCAGTAACACATCAGTGGAGCTATACTTCAAGAGAAAAGCCAGACCTGTTTATACTGCTTCTCTTCTACTTCCTCTTGCTTGTGTGCAACTTTGTGCTTTGTGGATGGAACTTTCTTCTTGGTTAAAGAGAGATCATGTAGGTAAATATAACTATCTTGTATAGAGAGTTTAAATCGATCTTGTTTACAGGTTCGTATGTGTCCGTAATGAATCTTCCTTGCACCATTTTCCTAGGTTGCCTTCTAATAACAATTTTTGACAATCTCTTTTGATTTGGTCTTTGCAGGGCTTGTCTCAAACTGCTAGTCTCCAGTCCAGGGAAGAATTGATGAAAGTATCTGGGAGGATAGAATGTGAAGGACCCAACCGTCATCTTTATGACTTCACTGGAAACTTGCGCTTAGATGGCCAAAGGTATTAACTTGACAACAAAGCCAAAGTCACTTGGTTTGGAAAAATGCTTGCAGTGTTCTTTTAGTCTGTAACAGTGCATGCATGTTTTTGCTGTGGAAGAGGAGAGTAATAATTAATAATAGTCAATCAGAGCATGTACAGGATATATCTGCCAGCATAGGATAACACAATTCTGTCTTTGTAGGGAGCCTTCTGGTTGTTATGGGAGTCTTGGTTTCTTTGTAATTATGGTGAATTTTTTTTAAAAAAAGGTACATGTAAAGAGAAAGAGTTGGGGAAATGGTAGGGTTTTTTAGGGCCATCTTGTTACACAAGATATACAGAGGAAATAAAAACCTGTCCCTTCCAGCTAGAGCCTGCACTGAGGTCAGGTCTATAGAGAAAAATGATCCCAGAATCTGGAGGTTTTATCAGTGTGACTTTCATTTGTTGCAGCTGTTGAAAGAAGAGTACTTAGTACTTGAATTCACAGATTTTGAAAGGTCGGTAGGAACATACAGGTTTCATTTGGCTGTACCTCTTTTCCTTCACAAAACCTGTGTTCTTTGGGCAACTCAGCTATGTAGTGACAGATGGAAGAATAGCAGATCATCATTTGCATCTCACTTGAAAATCATGTGGGTAATACAGTTTTTCCCAAATGCTTGTGTATCGGTGTATGTGATACAGTGTGCTTGGAGTAGATAGTCTCTTTGCAAGTGTGATGCTTCTCTGTCCTTGATGTGAGAAAGAAAGTAGTAGCCAAGGTCAAGTGCAAGACAGGCTTGTGTCCACCATGTAAGTGCTCAAGTTTTGGGTAATTAGAACAGCTCCCTTGTATCAGCTTTGCCCTACTGCGCTTTAGCAGGAAGTGGACTTACAGAGGTTTCAGTGCTTTCTTCAGTTGTGTGGACAATCTAAGGTCATTGTATTACTTTCTGCTCTCCCCCCGCCCCCCACTGGGGTGTGAGTCTGAAAGTAGAATTACTGTCCTTAGAGTGTTACCAAGAATTGAAAGATATACTTCTTGCTTTGCAGCCCAGTTCCTGTTGGTCCAGACCAAATCTTGCTGAGGGGTGCACAACTGAGAAACACTCAATGGGTCTTGGGTATTGTTGTGTATACAGGACACGATACAAAACTCATGCAGGTAAAGTTTTTAAGGAGATTTAAATATAAGCTGGTCATCTTTCCTGTATTCTCCTTGTTATTGATTTGATTTTATGAAATGCGTTGACTCATTATAGCTGTTAAAGACCTGGAGGCCTTGAGGAATACCAAGGGTACTGTTATATTTGAGTTTGTGTGTGCACGTATATAAACACTTACTGAAGTATTTGAAAGCAATTGAATATGTAAGAACTAACTTTCATCTTGATTTATCTGGTAGCTGGATGACATTTAAAACTGAAATTTAACAGCTGAGGACATAGTAAAGACCGTGAAGTTGATTAGGTTAATACTACTATTGCCCTAATGGGAGGGAGTGCCTGGAGAGACCAGCAATATGTATGTGTTGCTCACTGCTGCTGACCAACAGTAGATGGACAGGAAGTACTTTAATGGACTCTGAAAATAAAGACTGAGTTTACCTCTGTAATTTTATCTTGTATAAACCATTGCCAGACTCTTCTTTCTTTTTCTGCTGCTGTTTAGAATTCAACCAAAGCACCTCTGAAGAGATCAAATGTGGAGAAAGTGACCAACATGCAGATCCTGGTTTTGTTCTGTATTCTCCTGGTAATGGCCCTTGTGAGTTCTGTAGGTGCCTTATTATGGAACAGAACACACGGCGAAGTCGTCTGGTACCTTGGCTCCAACAGTGAGTATGCAGGCATTGAGCCAGGGATGTATCAGACTGTAGGGCCAGCCAGGCTCTTAGCTTCATTAAATGAATGCATAAAATAAGAAATAGAAAAAGAGGAAACAAAGCCTCTTTGCTAGCTTTTTGATGCCCCAATTTTTTTTATTTTTTTTTTTTTGAGAATGGGCTGGTGTAAGTGAACTTGCCAGTGAGGCTTCTGTTAATAAAACCTTCTAAAGGTTAGGTAAATATCACTGGGCTACCACCCAGGGAACAGGGCAGAAACAGAAGAGGGGCAAGAATTATTACTGGATATCTGGTGTTCCCATTCTTTCATCTCTGTGGAGATACCATACACAAATTGACCATACCCATATTACCATACACAAATTTATTCTCAGAGGTCGTCACATACTGCTGCCTTACATGTGTCTGACTGCATGATAGACAGTATCAGTCTGATGATGCTGACTTCAACTTGATGCAAAGGATTTCTCTAAACTTCTTTTCAGTCAGAAATGCTGATCTGCTCTTTTATAGAAAACTTAAACTTTATCCAATAAATAACAATCCTAACCATTTAGCATTTGTCTTTGACTCCTGTTATTTTGTTGTGAGAAAACTGATATTTTAGTGTGTTTATTTGAAGGGTTTTGTTTGATTTCGTTCATAGTCCATGAACTTATTAGTTCAGTATCAAAGACAGACATGAAGAATGAAGTGCTCTCCAATAGACTTCCATTTTGAGGAGGTTACCTTAGCTATAAAATGTTGTTACAAGCATCTTTAGTTGCAGATTTTAAAACAATTATCACAAACTGCAAATGGCTTGTCTGCTGATGATTGCAAAACAGATGGCAAGTGTATATTGTGCAGTTTAAGAATTGCAATTGTGGTAGTAATGAAAAAAATCCCATAGGAAGAGCATGGAAATGCCTCATTTTTGACTCTGGGTTTTTGTAGTTGTAATGTCTTGTACTAGTGATGTCAGTGACTTTCAGAGTTTCTTCCCTGCCCTCCCCCTTGTTTTTTAATGAGTAAGTTTAAATTTGTGCCTTCCAGTGGTGGGAGCAATACTGGAAAAGGTGAATTAAGTGAACTCTTGAACTTGTAATATAAAACCTGTTCAACTTGAAATAAACTAGGATGACATAATAGTCTGTATAGATGCCTTTTTGTAAATTGAATGCGCAATTTCTGTTACTTCTATAACTGCCACACACAGGAAAGACACTTTTTTAGGTTATACAGGTAGATATTAATTTTTTGTTAAATGTCTAATCTCTGTAAAAATTGTATTGGAAAATGTTTCAATACCAAGCAAGTTTTGACTTACTGTAAACTTACCAAAGATACGGAATTAGGGTGTGCTCACACTTGGAGGTGCCTGTGTCCAGACTGATCTTCACTAGGCTTCAGCAATTTTCTCTGGGTTCTGTTTCCTCCTAGTTGGCTCCTCTAATTAACTTGTAGTGCTGAAACCCCTTAGTTATGAGCTCTGACCCTATTGTGCTGGACGTTCTGACTAAAGTGCCTCCCTAAGCTTCTAGGAAAGTGTGGAACATACAAATGTGGAGACTTTGGTTGTAAAGAGAGGCTCTGGGCAGCACCATGAACAGGAACTTTTATCCTGTGTCTCTGCTGAGCCTTATGCATTCCTGCTGGCTGTCTGTAAATGCTTTCCTTTCCCTTTTAGGACCAGTTGTAATGGCAGACTTACTCAGGCAACCTGCCCAATGTTGTCACCATTAATAACAGCTTCTTTGCTTAAGCAGGATGCCTTAGTTCATTTACTAGGGGTCTGTTCAGCAATCGGTTGTTCTGTTAGATTTCTTTAGTGTGGGTAACTTCTCAATTCTGACAATGATGTCGGACTTTAGAATTAATTTTAGTGTTTATTTTTTGTTTCCTAACTCCACTGAGACAAGTAGGCACTTTCTGAAAGATAGTTATATTACTAGTGATATTGGTGGTTCTTAATTGGGCAGTTGACACATCAGATAAATGTCTAAATTTGGGTTATATTGGGAAATATTGTACTTCTTGCCATCTGTTTAGCAAAAGTTTTTCAGAAAGCGTTCTGTTCTTTAATATATAGCCTCACAAATCTTGCCCTTCTTCACCTGGCATAATATGCTGTGTATTCAGGCATGTGTTCTGTGGGTGTTTTATATATATATACTATTAAAATCAATATTAAAAAGGCCCTTATACTAGATGTCAACACACTTGCTGATTATTTTAGCACTGCTAAATCTGACTAAGCCAACTGCATAAAGATGATTGCCCCTATACTGTCCCTATACCACTCAGACTCATGTCTGCTCATGTCCTTTGTCTTTTGGTCCACAGAAATGCTGTCTGTCAACTTTGGATACAATCTGCTGACATTTATAATCTTGTACAACAACCTTATTCCAATCAGCCTTCTGGTGACATTGGAAGTTGTCAAGTTTACTCAGGCTCTTTTTATAAATTGGGTAAGTAACAAGAATGAATATATCTCAGTTCTGGATGTTGACATTTTAAAAAAATAACACTTAACATCTTCAAGACTTTTAATTAATTTTCTGATGCAACTTCTGAGAAAGGCAGGGGAAAGCTCAAAGGATTTATTCTGTATCAGTTCTGTGTTTCACAGGAATTAAAAGATTTAGTCATAGGAACATCCCCTGTGCAAATGATGACTTGCATTGTAGACCTTTAGGATGAGAAAGAAGTGTCAGGTTTTGGTGAAGGAGGTCTCTCTGCTGACTCATGTTCAGTAGTTATCTTTTGAAAACTCTTCAGTACCTTATATCTCCTCTCAACCACAGCAGAGGGAAAGACTAGACTTGTTTGAAGGTGTGGTATTCCTTTTTGTTTTTTTTGGTGGTTGTTGTGGTTTGTTTTTTTTTTTTAGATTCTCTGATATGGATCGTATTTTTGTAGGGAGAGAAGTTGGTGGTGCCTTATGCAACCAAACAGTGATCTTGCTCTGTTCAGGCAAGCTTTGACTTCAGAAATGTCTTTCTCTGGTTGTGGACCAAAAATACTGTAGTGATGTCTCTTAAGCTGAACAAAACCAAGAGGAATACCTTGTGCTAGTATGCGTTTATCCTTGGACTTTCAGTAATATAGCAGGTTCCTAAAAATACAAGTAAATGAGATCTGTCTGTTCCCCGAGCTGCTTATGATGTAGGAGAGATGCTTTTCTGAGAAGTTGCTTTGGTTTGTGTAGCAGCTGTTTTTTTTTACTCACAATAAAATATAGTGACAGAAGAAATTAATTTCATGAAGCCATTCAAATTGTCTTTTCAAGCATAGATGTGGCTAAAGCAACTAATTGTTGTAATTGAAGACATGTGATTAGCATGGCTAATGCCTGTTAAAACTTCTACTGTACCGTGATATTTTTTTTTCCATTGCATCTCTAGTTTGTTAACTATCTTTAGTTAAATCTGGCTTTTCACATGTACATGTAGTATGGAGGTATGCTTTGGAAAGGAGGCACCCATATTCATCCTGGGATGATGTTTGTCTCAAACCTTCAGAACCTCCATTAATGGCATTAAGACAGTCAGAACAAATTGGAGCTGACTAAAAGAATAATGGATAATTCAGTGTTTAATTTTAATAATATAGGTCTAATTTTGCTCTCATTTCAGGACATAGATATGTATTACCCTGAGACAGATACACCTGCAATGGCCAGAACCTCAAACCTTAATGAGGAACTTGGGCAGGTAAGACAACATTTTCTTCAATGTCGTGTTTGTGATTTATTCTGGCAAGATGGAAGGTATGAGAGCAAGCTGCACAAGTCTGCTTTACTCTGTTGCTCCATGGCTCAGGTTAATGGGACATGTTTGTGATTAGTCAGAGTCTTACAAGTAAAATGATAAGATATTGTAGGATTAAATTTAACATAGGCAGTTTTATGCTTGGGAACTGAAACTGTTTCGTATGTTCACTCTAAACTGACTTTTTTTTCCTCGAGGGTGTTGGGGAGATGATCTGCGTTTGTGACTGTCTATACCACAACAGAATGTGTAGGACTAAGCTTGGCTTAAGAGGAGGCCAACAGCCTCAGCCTGTGTTCTTAGTTCTTGATGTTTCTGATTGCTTCACAGGAGATGGAGGTTAAAACAATACGGTTCTATTCATAATTTATACTGTGCTCCTTCAAGAGTTTAGTTTTTCAACAACTTGTAGTTGTTGTAGATTTGTTTATTCTGCAAATGACATTTCTTAAAAATAGAAGGGCTTCCCAAAACAAGCTTACTGGAAAATACGATGTTGCTATTGGAGTTTTGTAGTACCATTGAGAAATCCTAGCTTTTTTCCTTGACCATCAGTCATAGGTCTTTAACTGAACCTCATGAACTTAGTAATTGTGCGATTTGGTATTGAAGACAATGTTTATACATTTAATGTACATAATGCTGTACTCAAGCAGCAGTGTGGAGCATAGCTAAAGGATCACCTAATTAGTACTGTAGTGCACTGTCTTGAATTGAATTGCATTTATTGAGGAAAAGCTTTTTCCAGCTCCATGCAAAATATTTTAGTCTTTAAATTGTTTAACTCCTATGCTAGCACCAATGTTGCTGGTTGAAAATCATACGTGGTACAGAGATACAACGGTGGTATTTAACGTACAATTATTTTTGGTCTGTTGTAGCCCACTGCAGGTGGAAATCTTGAATCTGCTCATGCTCCAAAATGTCATGTTGCTATGTTGAGGTGGCCTTCAAGTTCTACCTGAAAGTCACTAATTCCATTAAGGGGTTATTAGTTTGGGCAGTGCTGACTGTGGCTTTGTGTCTTGCACTTAAGGACTGTTCATGACTGGATACCAGAAAAAGCAGCTTTTGTTTGACTACAGGATACCAGTTGAACATACCCTAGCATATTTCTTGCACTTTACTGCTTATGGGGGGAAAACCACCCCAAACATGTTCTCAGTGATCTTTGGAACATGGAATTTCTTCTGTGTGTTAAATTGTATTGACCCTTCAACAGTCTTAATAGTCTTTGTTTTAATTTCCAGTTTTGCTCTTTGACTTCTGTACAGCTGACAGATTGTTGAATGTCCAGCTGGCACAACCATCTACATCTGTAGTGACCACTCTGGAGCCTTGGCAATTGATACCTACTATTTGAGCTTTTCTACATTTAGAAATCAAGAACAATTAATGCCATTAAACAACGTTCCTTATTATTTTTCTGTAGATCTGGTAGACAAACCAACCTGTAATAAGCCTGCATTGGCCAATATTGTGACATTGAGTAATATGTTTCTTAATCTGTTTTCCACTTTAAGTTTTGTAACTTTACAAGTTGAAAACTAGACTTTTTTTTTCTTCCAGGTAAAATACCTGTTTTCTGATAAAACAGGCACTCTAACATGCAATATCATGAACTTTAAGAAATGTAGTATTGCTGGAGTGACATACGGGTGGGTATGACTCCTTTAGAAACTCTCTAGCTTAATGTGTGCTTACTACTGGTACCGACTTTTATATTTGAAAAGGATTAGAACATTTTGTTCCTCAATTTGTATTTTAGTGTATTTTGTGGTCTTAATTAATAGTTTTCATTTTCATGTCCTGCAGCACAAGTTATGCAAGTCAAACCTGTGGAGTACTTTACATGAAGTAAAGGCAACTTGCTTCCTAACTTACCTGATCCATAATTTAAACAAAAGCAGAAGTGCTAAATAGCCTCTGGCCTTTCAAGAGGGAAGAAGCTGCAGCCCAAGGGTAGCAATTACTAGTCATGTTTGTATGACTTGTTCAGATGAATCAGGATTTTTTTAGAATCGTGTAGCTCTAATTGTAGAGTTTAATATTCCTTGTATAGGGGTACCTACTTAACTGGTTTTGTTCTGCTTCTGTCAAAAGGATCCCTTTGAGCCATGCCAGTACTCCTCAGCACTTGGCCTTTCGAGTCTTGAACACTAAATCTTTGTATTTGCTTAGTTTTAAATGGGTAGTCTTAAGATCTCTGTACAAGTTAACCTTTGAAATTCATGCTGACTAAATTAGATACCTCAAGAGGCAGAAAACTTGATTCAGATGTATGAACAGCTGAACCTATGGTTCCAGCATATGTTTTTGTGTAATGACTCATTGATCTTCTTTTTTTTTTTTTTTTTTTTTTTTTTTTTGGTTACCACAGTGGAATAAATGTTCTTTTCTTTTTCTACTCCTCAGTCACTTTCCTGAGCTGGAAAGAGAACGCTCATCAGAAGACTTCAGGTAAATATATTCCAGGATGTTTGTGCTCTGTATAGCAAAGTGGGTACAATCTATATAAAGACTTTCCAATTTGGGGCTGGAAGAAGCCCAAGGGAGCAATGTGTTTGAGTAAAATGGTCTTTCAGTGGGAGCCTAATGCAGAGCTGGTGGGTGGTGATGGATCTTCTCTGCATAAAGAGGTGGTGTGTGAAGGGGGTGAGGAATGGGCAGCGGCTGGGGTGGCTTGGATGCTAATGCAGTGCTTATTTATAAATGTAGACAGTCAAGTTAAAAGTAAACTGCTTTACACTAACCTTACCCCCTAGCTAGAGACCAGATGTTACTCTTTTTAATCACTAAGTTCAGACATGACAAGGGGAAGAAAAGGGACTTCTTTGTTGAAATGCTATGTTTTAGTAATTAAACTGGGAGAGAGCCTGATATATATAGGTGTATCATGTCAAAAGAATCCTACTCATTTTTATTCAGGACTTTAATGAATAGAGGTAATGGATCTGTTGCATTCCATAGGAACAAGTGAAAACCCAGGGGTGTAACAGAGGTGTCAGTGTAGCACATTTTGATTGTCAGGAAAAGGGGGAAGAGCCAGGGAGAACTGACATGGAGTTCAATGGCAAATATAGGCAAGAAGTGAGTTACTGCCCAAGAAACAGGTAAACACTGAATGCTGTTAGAAGAGCACTTGCTTATGAGCTAAACTGGGCTTCTCCACTGGCACAGATTGTTTTTATTATCATATTTTAGGAAGGTGATACCATGATAGGTTGCTACTTCTACTGAGATGTAATTGCTATTGGTACCTCTTTTCTTCCAATATATTGCTGTTTCCTTTCTTTCCCTGTACATTTTTTTTCTAGTCAGTTCTGTGGAAGTTTCTTTCAGGTACTTATATGGACTACTCAGACTTAAAATCCTCCAGGGTCAACTTGTGAAGCAGAACTCTGACTAGGGAGGGAGCTTAGGGATATTGAACTTTTGATCTGTCTTATAAGCGAGTTGCCTTGAAATCTATTTATTTCAAGTGTGCTTAAAACTGTTTTTGCAACATCTGTCCCAGGAGGTGCATTGACACTTGAATCTTCTCAAATACACTGTCAACGATAACCGTTTCTTGCTGCTGCTCATTTTTAGCACTTTCTGCATTACTTACATGATCTTCTCACAATACTTTCAAGGGCACTGGAGTGTTATTTTTTTTTTTTAAAACTTGCTTCCTGAGAAAATAGTTGAAGTATTAAGATTGGCAATATTGCCACTTGTTTGAATATGCTTGTTTTGCTCTGCAGCCAGCTACCTCCTTCCACGAGTGAATCATGTGAATTTGATGACCCAAGGCTGCTGCAAAACATTGAAAATGATCATGTAAGTCTACTCTTTGAATATCGTGCCTCTTAAATGCCCTATTCTAGGCCTGTCTGGAATTGAATGCAGAACATATCTATTTGTGTGATGAAGTCTGCTCCATGAGTGTGTCATGCAAGCACAGAAGGGATGAAAAGGAATCAAAATAGCTCCCTCCAACGCCTTTCTGCCCACTTGTCTTACTATTGAATTAAAGAAGCAGTGGCATCGATATGGATACCAGCTACCTATAGAACAGCTTCATATATGCTGTCGTATATGGAAGATAATGTTTTTGTAGCAAGTAATGATAGAAATTGTAATTCTTTAAAAGAAAAACTACTGACTGTTCAAACATCTGTCCTGGTAAAATATTGTGTTTAACAGTAACCTATAGCATTAGAAGGTGGTTCTGGTATGAACCTTGCTTTAAGTATTGCAAACGTTTGGAATTTCAGTTATGTAAAGGATGTAAGGGATGAGACTTAATTGCAAATCTAAGCTTAGCATGAGGCTCAGCGATTAGTAATTTTAGCCTAAGTGGTTGAGTCCTTGATATGGTTTGAAGCTGGCTCCCTGCCAAGTCTCCAAACCTTACCACCAGAAGTGTCCCCCCCCCCAACACAAAACAGCTAGACAGCTCAGAAGTCTTTGTTCTTTACATGCTGAGCCTTATGTATCAAGCTTCTGCTTGGGTGGGAACTTAAATGGATAAATACTGTTGTCATTGCGCAGCTGACTGTTGGGCTGAGCACACAGACAGTGGGGAAACTTCTGGCTAGTAAGATGTGCCTTGTGTAGGCCAAAGATGTCCTTCAGAGCCTGACTGTACTGGAGGAATGGGTACCACCCACTGGCACGTGGTGATTTAGCCCAAGATGTGGGAATGCAAGGGCTACATATGGTAGTTTGCTTGGCACGTTCAGGTGTATTTGTCAGACTGTGTCAGTGAGATTAGGGCTGAATTCCATGATAGTGGTAGAGGGAAGGGTCTTTGTAGCTTTTTTGCATTTGGTCAGCTGCTAATGTGCATAAACTGCTTCTTTCTGTTAAACTGCATAGTGTCTTATTTTTCATAGCTAATAGATAGCTGCAGATGCCATTTGCAGATGTCTGACAATTTCTACTCATTTAGTGAACTGAGGTGATAAAACTGAAGTGTTCTAGCACAAGCTGCCTAGTGGGGCTAGGTGGTACTGTACTTAGTTGGGCAATTAATTCCCTTTAAACATTTGACCTTTTGCAGCTGAAGCTTTAAGTGTGATATCTACAAACTCTTAAGTGCTCATTGCTCTGGTCTTGAAGATTTTAGGTTTTTTTTCAGTCCAGTCACAAGTGTTAGTTTAGAGCTGTCTCAGTGCCAAGTAATTTTCTTTCCAGGTTGAAAATAAAAAATTATGTACTTATACTCCCGAGACTGTCTTCCATCTGCTAGAAAGATTTTTAGCATCCTGTGTCAGCTCTAAATTTCATAGCTCTTCTGGGCCACTGGTGTGTAAGGGCTGACTGATAGCCAAGTTCACTCTTGAATAGCAGTTCAAGAATTATTGCCCCATAGGAAATGTTCCAAGGAAAAATAACTTGTCTTGAAAACATGTGGAAGTTTCTCTTGCCTGCTCTGGGATTTTAATGTGGAAGAAAGTACCTAGGTTTGTCTGACTGTGCTTTTTCTTTGGAACTGGTTCTTTTGGATGAACTCTGAATGATGCTGTCTTCTCTGTATAGAGAAAATGGCATAAACTCTTAGTGTAGTGAGAGAGGATCCGTTGTTTTCTAAGATTAGAATGAATGTTTGGTGAATACACTAGGTGGTCTTTATCTTGGTGCTTGCTAGTTGCATATGTGCTATGGAGATGCAAGCCTGTTTGATGTGGGGTTATGTTTTACCTGATGATAGGAGAGCAGGGAAGGAGGTCAAGAAGTGAAGGAACTATAGACTTGGATCTCATCCTGGACTCCTGCATCTCCCCGAATTCTCTCTGAACTTCATCTATGAATTCCAATTTGCACAAGAGCTTTGTTCAATGGTCCCCAAATTCTCTCTTGGCCAAGAAGCAGGAAAGCTGCAAATGCATAAATTGATTCAGTGAGTATGTGTTAGGAGTAGTTTAGCAGCTGGCTTGGCAAAACAGACAACTGTTGTGTTCATGTTGAGCCTTTACGACACTGAAAGTGTTTGTTTAGACCTTGCCAACATGTCTATTTATTTTTGTGAAGTGTGCAGAAACTGAGGCTATTATCTGATCAGGCTTTTCTGAAATGACAGCTATCGTCAGCTGATTTTTAATTCCTTAGGAAAGCAGAACCAGAAAATCATATCACTACTAACTGGGATGAAAAACCGGAATTTGGAATACAGTAGTGCAAAAAGTATGTTTGGGTAGTGAAATCTGGGAGGCTTTAGTTTGGGAAGTAACTGTTGCTTGAAAACTATGCAAACTTGTCATTTTATAGCTCACAACTAAATTGTTAGAGCTTAGTGAGAAATATTTTTCATTTGTCTGCTTTTGTTCTTATTATGTGTGGGACTTTGCTACTGTTGTTCAAGTATAAGACAGTATCTTTAATTATAGGCCATATTTCATTGGTTTTGGACAAGATGAACTTGCATTTAACTCTCTTGCTATTCAAACACTGGTTAATGTTCTCTTTGAGTCTGTGCCTGAAATATCTTGGTCCTCTTTGGTCTTACTGGCTTCTTTGTTCCATGTGCCCAACATGGCTGGATCCTCACACTGCTCTCCAGATATTTTAATGAACTAAACAGTAGGAAGTTAACATCTTTTTCAGATGGTGAGTCATAATTTTCCTTGGTAATCAAGTACATAAGTATTTTTGTAGTTGTCCTTGGCAGAATTTGCCACTTCCTTCTTTGAAGGAGTAGGCTCAAGTTGTTAGACTGTGCTTTAATATCTCATTGGCCATTTCTAGACCATTTGCTCAAAAAAATGTCAGTCCTGCTCATCTGGAGATATTATGAATGGAGGCACTGATCTCATACTGCTACAAGTAAAAGGAGAGGTGAAAAATCTAACCTCACATGCAACTTCCTTGTAATTTTATCAGCTGGCTAGAGAAAAGTAGTTTGTCTTCAGAGTGACAAGGCCCAGATAAGGACATGTGTGACATATGTGCAGTTATGTAGCTCTGCAGAGTGCAGTTTGCTCCCTGAAAAACTGAGGTTTGGCTCAGTGTTTTGATCCTCTGAATAAGGAAGCAAGGAAGGGATAAAAGGTTGTGATGCAGCTTCATGACCAGTGGTCTGTGCCTTGCTTGATAATGGATATTGCTGTGCCTTCTAGATAGCTAAACTTTGCTTTCATGGAGGATAATGCTTTGTAGATAAAAACCCAGAAACTGCTTTCAGAAATAGGAGATTGTTTCAATGTGTATGTGGTTCTTAGCTTGTAGGGGCAGTAAGCAAAATAATTTAGCCACTGGAGTGTATCCCTGGTATAGGTGCTTGTACATGTATTTTTTCATGGATCTTTGGAAAAAAAACCCCAAAACCAGAGAAAGAAGCAATGGCTTTTACCCAGAGCTGTTGCCACATTAGGAGAAAAATGAGGGGAAAAAGGCACTTAAAATGAGAACTACCTATTGGTAGGTCTGATGAAAAAGAGACTAAAATATGCGAACTTTGTTCCAGCTACAGATAAACAGAGGTGGAAAAAATGTGGTGGAAAGAAATAAGGCTGACCTTAACAAATGAGCAGGCAAGAAATGTCTCAGAGACCATCAGTAAGAATTTTACTACTAAAATATCAGAGACTTAATAGAGGAAAATAAATAATAAGGTAGAATCAGTTAACCTGTGGGACTTCTGTCCTGTGCTGGGGTTAACTTGGCATGTTGGAAGGGATGTGTTGCCACAGAACCCATTAATGAATCTTCTGTTCACAGATTTGAAAGTTCCACCCTGATTCATGCCTGTGCAACAAATATTGTCAGTACTGGAACAATATAGAAAGGAAACAAGTGACAGCTGTGCGGAGGAGCTGTTGTGATAAGCTGGGACTCTGGTGATCTGTTGCAACAGAATTGGAAGGTTGCCCTGTAATACATTGTGAGCTGTGAAAGTATCAACACAGCAGCAAATTATGTTGCTAACTTGAAAACATAAATATATACATAGGAAGAATTAAAATCCATGTCATTACTGGAGACAGGTTGTTTCCAACTGATAGAACACATACTGTGAAAGCATGTTAAGGGGCTGGCTGATGAAAGTGTAAGAAGCACATCAAAGGTCTGTAGCAATGGATACTGAAATGAGAATTTGGCAGGCTCTGCATTTTGAGATGGAGATAAAACTTTCCATGATTTCTAGTGAAAGCAAATAGAAGCAGTAACCTCCTGATTGTAATTTGCTGTGGACTTAACATTTTACACACTACTCTCTGATTATATTCCACATGTTCATTTTCTTGAACACAGCCTCTGCACCCCCAGCATGTCACAAGTTACAACTGTTTTTATTTTAGTGGCATGTTACCATACAATTTGGAGGCTTCAATATGCAAAGATAAAGGTCCTGTGTGAAACAGTTACTTTGAAAATCTTCATGATAAAGTAGATGAAGTAAAACAAGGGTATAGGTCTACGATATTCAGTCTTTTTATTCCACTCTTTTCTAATACTCTTACTTTTTTACACATGTTGACATAGTGTATGCCAGCTGACATGGTTTTGTGGCTTTTATAGTAATTTACTTTCTACTCATTAAACCTTGATATTGCCAGTGTGTATCCTCTGCTAATAAAAACTTTACAAACTCTCACAGAATTTTTGCACATAAAAATATCATCTAGCTTCCAAAGTCAAGTAAGGCTTTCTGCAAAGGTAGAACTACTAAGTTCATGTCTGACTCAGTCACTGAGCAAATGGCTGCTGTGACAGAAGACATTGATGCTACCAAGTGTGGATGTTATGGTTACAGCATAACATCCCCCTTATGGGGAAGGGGAACCATGTGTTCACTTCATCTGAAGTGAACTAGTTGTGCCTGGTTTTGAGCTGGGCAGCTGAGTACCATTTCTGACTGCTATGAGACTATAAATACTGTGCCAGAGGCAGGAATAGAGAAGAGGGAAGAGAGGAGTAGGGGACTCAATTTCAAATTGCTATAACTGCAGTTGCCAGAGTTGGCTGATCACAGGCCTGTGATTGAAGTGCTGTAGCATCTTTGCTGAGTTGCAGACCTGGTGTCTATTTAAGCACTTGGGGCTGGCTGTGAACAGTGTTTTATATTCTATGTTCTCATGATGCTAAATGTGTAGGGACCGTTGATTAATTTTATGCTTGGCTGGATGCTGTATTTCTGTGGAAGGGCACATGATGTTGCCTTCTACTGGCTATTCAGCTGCTGTCAGCTCTGGATGTTCATTGCTAATGGAGCAGTTGCATCAAGTTTAATTCTGGTGTGGTTACTGTCACTCTGTTAGGAGCTGCCATAGTAATTTTTCCTGTTGCTAGATTGTCATCAGCTTGTGGCAGATGTCTTCACCTATATGAAGATGGGGGTGCTACAGAACTAATGCTTTTATATTTGGGGAGGTGGGGGAATATTCTGGCTTCACAGCTCTCTTCAGCTTAAGTGAGGTCTTTATTGTTAACACTCTTAATTCATCAATGCTGGCCCTAAACTCTGCTGTCTTGATCTGCTGTAAGTAGAGAACAGAATATTTTTTTTTTTGGTCTGTGATACCTCTGTGGTCTTCTCAGTTTAGTGAATAGATGCCTCAGTCTGTGTGTAATGCTAAACCTCACTCTTCTGGTGTCTTGTCTAGCCCACAGCTGTACACATACAGGAGTTCCTCACGCTGCTGGCCGTGTGTCATACTGTTGTTCCTGAGAGACAAGGAAATACAATCATCTACCAGGCCTCCTCTCCAGGTTGATTGTTGCTTTCTTTTTTGGGAGGGAAGGAGTTGAAGGAGTAGAAGGTAGATGGAAGGGAGGTCCATAAATTTCTGTGAAGATCATTGATTTTGAAAGCATGATGTCCCCCATGATGCTAGCAGTAGGTCTGGCATCTCCTGTCATCAGTACACACTGCTTTTGAATGCCTCCTATGAAACTACAGTGTCTATGATGTTTCTTTAGAGATAGGCTGGGCTCATGCCTTCTGCTCTTGTGAAGCCTTCTACTCTGGCCTTTCTGCAGTGATGAAAAGCAAAATTAGAACTTGGAGTCTGTAGAGCTGATTCATGGAAGTAATTATTTGTTTCTGCATTAATAATTACTTGCTTTATTTGGCAAAAGTACAGACTGTCTTTCTTGATCTAGTAGTATCTGCGTAAAGCAAAATATGGAGCGACCAAGTGCTGATACATGACATGGTATAGCCAATAGCAGAGTCCTGGCCACATTCAGGCCTGCCCTTGACACATTTTTTTTCTCCTTAAAGTTAACACAGAGGTGTTGAAGAGTATAAGCATGGCCAGAATGCAGAACAGTATGACCCTGCTCTCCATCAGTTTTATCTCTGTTAGTGGAGATATTTCTAGAATTGCTGTAGTTGTGTTTTGAGTGAGGAAGCAGTATCATTTCTCATTTACTTCTTAATAGTGTGTCTGAAAAGTAGGGTGAAGAGCCCATATAAGGAAGCTCTGGACAGTGTGATGAACTATGAGGAGACTAACAGTACTGTAGAGACATTAGGGTTGCTTAAATTGGGCACTAAATTCACATGTGTGGTGGTTATGCTTAATGACGCTCCTTAATGAGGCTCTGTAGGTACCTACTGGAGGTCCAAGTGTTGGCTCTGGTTTCAGCTCTGTTATTTGAGCTCCTAATGACACTGCTCCTTTGAGTCTCCAGAAGACAATGCTGTATTTCTATAGCACGTGAACTTAGTACCTTTACAACAGAAAATGGATTAAAAGCATATTGTAGGAATTTGGAGTAACAACATAGGCTTTGATCTTGCTTTCAGAAGAGGTATTTTCCCTTTTTCATGTAGAAAAGTATGACTTCTCCAAAGACAGAGTTTAATGCTTCAGTAGTTACAGGATATTTTATATGGATTGAATACAAAGTTTGTGTAGTTGATGTTACATGGCCTTTGTAGAACTAAGCATTGAACCTTTTTGTGTAAGGATGTGCAGAGCTACTCTAGCAACTGTACACAGGACAGTATATGGGAAAGGGGACTTCTGTTTTGGCAGTCTGGCATATTTAATATGGGTTTTGGAGGCCTCTCTTACATACCGGATGAAATTTAAGCTTTTTGTTTGTTTGTTTTGGCAGATGAAGGGGCATTAGTGAAAGGAGCAAAAAAACTTGGTTATGTCTTCACAGGACGGACTCCGCATTCAGTTATCATTGATGCGGTAAGTGGTAGATGTGCATGGCACAAGCTGCCAAGCTCATGCAGAGCATCAATGTGTCCCGTGTGGCTCCTGTGAGGACCCCTTTCCAGGGTCCTTGTGATGCTTACATGCAAAAGGCTTTTGCACACGGGACGAAATGGTTTTAATCTATCTGAAGATGCAAAGTCCTTTACCCTTCTGTGTGGCACGGGCAATAGGAAGTTGCAAGCTTACATGGGAAATAACAGCAGTTGTGCCTGAAAAATATTTTCCTTGTCTGGGAAGCACAGATGGGAACACTCACATTCAGAAGCAAATTCATGTCTCTGGCTGACTATTATGTTTAGTGGTTACAATTCTTCTAAGTGTTTCATTTCTTGTATTAAAAGGAATTTTTTTTTCTTCTGAGTAAGATGTTCCGCATCTTCTTAAGAAGATGTATCTACTTAACAAGCTCTATATGCAGGGATGCATAGTTAATGGGTTACAGTTGACACAGAGAGTCTCAAACTCATGGGCTACATTCAGACTCAAGTTGCAGTCTAAGCTAAAGTGGCTCCAGATTTATACAGATGCAGCTGGTAGGGTGCTTTTTACAAATGATGGATGTGTTTTCGTCCTTCCTCTTGGGTGTGTTCACTTGCAAATTCCTTGGTACACTGCCAAGATGAGCACTTAAAACACATCTTCTAGGACTTGTCACAAACTTTTAACAATTTCTCAGAAATTACTTCTTAATTTAAAGGGAAAAACTTAGGATGAGCAGTCATCTAGAGCTATCTAGGTGCTTCTCTCCTCTGCAGGAAGAGCCAGGCCTACCTGACTTAGCTTTATACTCCCAGTACCAAGTCAGGAGCGTGGTCAGTCTACAACCAGCAATAAAAGCTGTTACTCCCAGAGGTTCCTGTCCCTCCTCATTGCCTATGTCAGTGGCAGCATGTGTAACGTGGGTCAGAGATGCCTTTTGGTCTTGGGGGTATTGCTGAATTGAGATGTGCCTTGTAGGACATAAGTCAGTACTACAATTAGATTTTACTGCAGCACTTTCTTTAACCACATGCTACAACTACCACTGGAGTTCTGAGACTCCAGTAATTCCTATTACTCCTTCTGTCTGTTATATAACAGGTATGGCAGGTGTTTTGAAATCTTACTCTTTCTTCAGGTAGTTCATGCTCAACCCTAGCAGAGAGTTATTGGTGACAAGAGGAATTTCTCCTCAGTTAACTTTTTTTTGCCACGAAAAATGTAATTAATGTTCTTGTAAATTCAAGTAAAAGAAATGGTTAGGGAGTTCAGTCAAAGGTATTTTAACACCAAATCTGGAGAGCATCTTTATTTTAACTTGGAAAAACACTCACAGCCTGTTGATGGCTGTTAAGAACTAAATATGCAGCTTACGTTTCAGAGCATGCCTATAGTTTTGGAGTAAGATATTGATTCCGTTGTAATGGTGTAGCAATAGTAAATGAAGGATGCCACAATACTGAATGTTGAAGCAAGTTCATTAAATTGGACTCTGCGTGCTTTAACCAGCAGAGGGAGCCATTGCCACATTTATTTATACTGGGTTGTGTGAGAGACACCTGACCAGCTTGTTTGCACGTGTAAGAACACAATGTGCATTGTACTTACAGTAGTACACGCTTTCTTTTGTAGCTGGGGAAGGAGAAAACCTTTGAAATTCTTAATGTGCTGGAGTTTTCCAGGTGAGTTTTCCTCTAATATACTAAATGCAGCATAAGAATACCATTCTTGTAAGTGTGTTATTGAGATAAAATTGAGATAAAAAAAGATACAGCTGATGCAGTAAAAAAGCAGAACTTCATTAGTTCTTGTTCTGCCCCTTCATCTTCTCATTTCTGATGTAGGATGAGTACAGAGCTGGTGGCTGTTGGCATGTGAGCATGAAACTCTTCCTTGCCACTGCATCTCGATTTATTGAAAAGTTGCTGCTCTGGAAGTGTTTTGTTGTAACTCGTGGATATCCTTACGTGTTACTTGTCTTCTTGAAGAACATACTTTGAGATCATGCTTTTACAGATCTTCTGTAAATTACTTGTTTTTGAGTAGATGGAAACTACAGCTGGAGGTGCCCCTTCTTAACAACCGCTCCAACTGTGAAAATATAAACATTGCAAGCACTTGGAGCATGTCAGGCTCATTAGGATGGGCATTGCTTGCATAGCAAGAAGCTTTGTTTGATGAATTGGACCCCTAAACCACTGGAGATGATTTTCTTTGTCAGTTGATAAAAGTTATATCAGTTTGGATGGTGCTAGTCAGCAGCCTTTTTTGGTTTGTTTTGTTTTTTTTTTTCTACTCTTACTGTGGATTAAAGCCTTGAACTCTTGTCTTCTGCTGTCTTTGAATTGGCTGGTCTTGCTCAAAAGGACTAGGTAAAATTAAAGGTGGGGAATATTAGGGTAGGCAGCTTTTCTTGTGTGCTGGCTTCCTTTGAAGGTTATTCTTGACTACTTTGCCCTTTCCTACTACATAATGTAGCTATGTAAGCTCTAGAAGAGTCTTTGGGGTTTTTGGCAAGCTGACCACAGTACCCTGATGTCTATAACAGGAATAGCTGTAGCCTACTTGCAGCAGAAAAAAGCTATCTTACTTTTGCACTGCGTGTAGCAACTTCCCACGTGACTAGCAAGGAAGTTCCTACAATTAGATTTCAAAAAGCATATGGAAGTTTCCCAGTGTCATAAGCATGTTGCAGAAATTCTGGCCACAGCTAATTGCTGCCCTTCTACCCCCTCTTTAGAATGTCTCAGAAAGGATTGTTTTATCTTATGATACGTGCTTGCGTACTTACACGTTGCTCTTGACCTCTGAAAAGAGACTAGATCTCCCAGAGCAACTTCAAGAGGAGAAGGAGGATTGCTCTACACTCTGATCTGTTTGTACACATTGGCAAAAAGTTGTCCTTTTGCTAAGGAAAAGGTTTATACAAAACCACATGTTCCTAGGGTTTCCTTGATTGATGAGAGTTGATTTGCTTGTGTCTGCCTCTTACAAGTTGTGTTGTGTTTTTTCTAGTACATCTTTTAAAGGAGAGATTACTAAATAAAATGCCAAAAATTGTCTTTTAAAAAAACCTATCCTTGCCTATGTTCTTATGTTAAATGTCTATGTACAGTATGCTACCGTCCACCTTTGTTATTTTTAAGATACATGCCAGGCTTGACTGTCTTGATAAGCAGCCTTGCTCAGGATGTTTGGCTTCCTTCTGCATAATTGCAGCTATACAGGTCTAAGTAGACCAATATAAAGAACCTATGGGGAGGCCAAGAACTGGTCTATACCATAATTCCATTCTATGATGTTTCTGCTTTCTTTTGAGTTAGGAAGTTAAGTAACTGCCCTTGACAGTGGATGGTTGTTTCAATGTCTGTTATGCATATAATAAAGATACATCCAGCCTTAATGATTCTATTTCTAGAGTGAGTTCCCAAAACAATTTCGCTAGAGGAATAAGAAAAAGTTGAAAGTAAATGTGGCTCCCATTTTTTCCAGAGCATTTTATCCTATCTTGCTTTTTCTTGCTCACATTTGGGTGTAAGTCTGTGTTCTGGTTAAGTGCTTGCCAACAGGAGCCATAGGGCTGAAGCTGGAAATGGGCAATTTAGTATTTCTCTCCTTGCTGTCAAGGGCTGTGTGATCTTAAGTTACTATTCTTATATCTCATCATATCTCAGATGCACTGAACACATGTGAGAAAATTCACTGGCTAGAACAGGAATTACTCTTGATCGCTTTGACTAATGAAAGTAAATATTTTTTTTTCACTAGCAACAGGAAGAGAATGTCAGTGATTGTTCGAACTCCAGCAGGACAACTACGTCTCTACTGCAAAGGGGCTGTAAGTAATTATGCTGCCTAATGGAGAATTAACAGTACCAGTTATTGTTTCAACAGCTGTGGCTGATGCTGGCATTTCATATCTCATACATAATACCTGTTAGCTTTCTGTTTAAGGCCAAGTGATTTAAGAGAGCTGTCATTCTTCTTCTGACTCCTTTTGCAGGCAGGAAGATTGCTAGGCTTTCTACTGCCCAGTTAAAATCCTGAAACTAATGGGAGCAGTACCTTTTACTTCAGCAAAGTCAAGATTTCACCCCGCTGTGCTGTGGGAGTTCAGGAGCTGGACTAAATGCTGTTGTCTGAATTTATAATATTAAAATCTGTTCTCAAGTCGTTGGCTGTTGGTCTGGCTCTCTTGCACCTCTGCACCTGCTGTTTGTCATCATGACTTGCTCCATGTTGTGCTTCTGTCTCCACTGACAAGAGCAATAACTTACCACAGTATAAAGTCTGCAAAACTAGTGTTGTCCACAGCCAGAGAGTCATTCTAATGTCAGTGGAAAACTATGGACCTGGTTTTTTTTCAACAGGGAAAAAGTATTTTTGACTTCTAAGGATCTGGTTTACTTGAATTTGTCCTGACATATAGGTCTGGGTGCGTTGCTCTATTGCTTCAGTTTACCTCCTCTGATTTGATAAAGATGTGCTGGCTTCATGCTGGAGTAGTGAAAGTGTATTAAGACCACTACCATTGTGCAGTAGTTGTATGTCTAGTAGGACCACACAGACTTGCAACTGCTTGTTGTTCATGCTATGCCTGAATTCACACTATTTTTTGGAGTGTGGCACTGGAGGGGATGGAGAACAGGAGAGTTTGTAGTACAAAATTTCATATTGTCTTCCATATGAGCAGCCTTAGATGTACTAACAGAGCAAAAGTGTTGCAGTAATTAGTGTAATCTGGTGGTTTGTCTGCTGCATCTGCTACTCATCTGAAATGTAAGTTAACTGCCTGTTTTGCATTAACTGTTGCACATTCTGGTAGTCATCCTCTGTCCAGTTGCTTCCATAGTAAGTTGGTTTGTATGCCTATCCCTAATCAGTGCTTGATGTAGGCCTGTTTACTTAGTTTAAGAGCATATGTATGAGTAAAAGTAGGGTTTCTGTGTTTTACATGTTTGTAACAACTTGTTCTGGTAGTTGCAGAATAAAATCCAGAGACTCTAGATACGATGGTGCTGTATTTTGATTGCAGCTTTTAGCCTTTTCAATTGTCCTTTGATTCAGTGATGAAGAAAGCTGTTGCAGGAGGAAGGTTGCTTCTACTTGCTTTCGCAGTAGAATGAGATCAGTGTTTCTGCCTCTTAATTTTTAACATCAATGGGAATCTTTTCTAGAAAGGAGGGATTGCAGGAAACTCTTCTTCTGCATGCGAGTACAGTATGTGCTGAACTTAAGACCAGACAGTTACTCTCTGAAAATCAATAGATTGTCTTATAACTTAGAGAGAAATGTTTTGTACTGCCCAATAATGGTGACCTTTTTATGGAAAGAAGGGGAGAAGGGCAGAGTGTACTTCTATCCTCGTTATTTAAAGTGGATGCAGTATTCCTGCCACTGGGCACAACCTAAATGACTTAATCAAATCAGAATCTCTAAAACCCAAATGTATTACTTTTAAATATAGTCTTGGTTTTGATATTAGTAAGTCCATGAAGGTTGCTTCACTTGAGCTTGTAAATACACAAATGGAAACTTCATATGTAGACTTACTCTGTTGTAATGAATTTGGTTTTAATAGGATAATGTAATTTTTGAGAGGCTTTCAAAAGATTCCCAGTATATGGAGCAAACACTGTGCCATCTTGAATACTTCGCAACAGAAGGTAAGAAAAACAGCATGCACTGAGAATTCAGTTTTATCAAATTACTTGCAGCATCTTCTGCATTGTCTAAGATAAGCAGTGTCAAATAAGATGATTATGAAGATAAATCAAGAAGTGTGTAATCAGCAATTTAACAACTGTAAGATGACTTTAAGACTAGAGAGGTTTTTGTCCTGCTTCTGTGTGATTTCAGTAGGGAAGTGGAAAAGATGGTGTTCTCTGTGTCCATGATGAAGGGAAAAGGTATAAGTTGTATTGCCCAGAATAACTCAACTACACTGGAGTTAAAGTTGTAAAAGTTGAATGCCAAAGTCCCTGGCTTTATGAAGCAGAGTGATAATCTGAACATGCTGGGAAGCCTTGTAGACCAAGGCATCAAAGATGACCTGAAATGGTCTATAAGGCCTTTGGTTGATGTAACACCTCTGTTCACAAGGAAGCACTTGGCTTTGTTCCCTCTTCTGCAATAGCATAAGATATTGTGCTATAGTAAAACCATGAACCAGCAGTTTTCTTCCTAAATCTGAAAACGTCAGCTTTTAAATATATATTTTTTTGCAGACTCCCACGTTCCCAGTAATGAAATTTTTGTATTTAGTGGCACACACACATTTCTGTTTGATTCATGCTAGGGAAAAAAATCATTACTTCTCTATGTAAATTTTTGTCAGTGGTGTAATAAGTTGGTTTTCATGCTTCATGGACCCTATTCACTGTATCATACATGTCTAACTCCCATTATTAATGTGAATTAGATTTATACACTGAAGGAGTCTTCCTAAAAAAAAACATGGACGATGTGGTATGTTTGACTAAGTGACATCTCCAGTCACAGTATGTAACCAGTTTTTTAATTTGATCTTAAAAATACATGAAAGCAAGGCTTGTTTTCATGCTCACTTAAAAGGTTAAAGATGACACTTTTGTTGGTCAAGTATGGCTAGATTGCAATAGTGGAAGTCAGGGACTGGAGACATCTAAGTTTTTACCCATTAGACTCTTGATTTGCACCAACATTAGTAATGAAATGAGCCAGACTTTTGGTTTACATTTGTGGAAATTTAAGTGCTTTAAAAATGTCGAGGGAGATTTTGTGGAATCCAGAGTTTAACAATCTGTGTTAATAGCTCCTGTTGTTCCAGTGAGAGGCTGGAATTTAGCGTTCATTAGGGCATTAATGATTTGCTGATAATTTTACTGTGTAATTTTACTGTGGGTAATGGCTGCCTTATGTTTCGTAGGTCTGAGGACATTGTGCATTGCTTATGCAGATCTGTCAGAGAAGTCTTACAGAGAGTGGTTGAATATCTACAATGAATCCAGTACAGTTCTGAAAGACAGAACTCAGAAGCTGGAGGAGTGCTATGAGATCATTGAAAAGGTGAAACATACTTCTTTGATTAGATGCGGGTTTCCTTATATGTATATTTTTCAGTGGAATTTGGGCTTTATACAATAAAATAAACTGTTAATTTTGTAGATGAGAAACTGAAAAGGTGTTCTTAGATGGCAGCCTGTTCAGTCCATAGATCTCTCAAGTTTTAATTTGTAAGTCTGAGACAAACTTACACATAAAAGAAAATAATTTCTACTTATAAAAGCTTTTCAGACACATTTTTTATCTTCCTTTTTTGTGTAAGATTTTTGTAACTTGATAAAGCTAATGTATAAAAATCGTTGTGTTGCACCAAATGTCCATGTACTAGTATATGAAGAAATGCACTGCTTTTCATACAGCAGTCACAGTTCAGGTGCTCTGAAGGCTTCATTGTAGGCACAATGAAGTCCTTACCAAAGCGTGTAGTTGCATGGACTGAAAAAAGGTGGATAAACTGCACTCCATGAAAATTGCAGAGCTCTTAGTTTTGGAAGGGAAACGTAGGTACTAGAGAAGCAATTTGAAATGGAAAGGCTGATCCCACAAAGAATTAAATGTTAAAATGCCAACACTAGGGGCCAGTGTTTCCCTGAGCCTTGTTGGTCTTGCTGCTTTCTGAAATGCTGGTAGTCGCACTCCTCACCTACACGTGTTCACGCTCTTCCCCCTTGCTCCAGGTATTTCGCTCTCATTTTATTTAGTGGTTTCTTTAAAACGTGCTTTGAACTTCAATTTATTTTAAAATTAATATTAAAAATGCTGCTTAAGTTCTGGAGCATTCTTGTTTATTGGGGCAGAATCATAGAATGGCCTGGTTTGGAAGGGACCTTAAAGATCATTGAGTTCCAAACTTCTGTGATGGGCGGGGACACCTTTCACTAGACCAGGTTGCTTAGAGTTCAATCCAAACTGGCCTTGAATACTTCCAGGGATGGAACATCCATGAGGAGGTTGAGACTAGGATGGGAGTTAACTGTCACAGGGTAACAGAAAAGCTCCAAGAACTTTTTTGACAAGAGCTGAAGATTGAGTCTTTGTTTTCAAAGTAATGCCTAAAAATCTTCTTTTGTGTTACAGTGTGTCAGTAACAGTGGCTGTCCAATCCTTAATTCTGGGTAGCTCCTTTCAGCGTTCTGCTTCTTGCGCTGTGCTCTTGTGCTCCTCTGTCACTGAGGTGAAACATGAACATGGCTTTAACTTAACTTTAAAGTGTGTTCTCAAACCTTAGATAATTTTTGGTCATCTACCTTCCGCCTTTTTTCACAATTCAATATCTTGAAAAAAGGGGAACCCACATATGGGTTTTAGAATTGGAGTTTTGGACTTGGTACCATATTGGCAAGAACTATCCACTGTATGCCTTTCCTGTTATTGTTTGCTTGCTGGTCATACCAAGGAATAGGGTATTTCCAGATAAACTGGCTTGTGGCTGTGACATAAAATACAATGTATTTTAACAGGCTGATTTTTTTTTTTTTCATCTAAGAGCTCAAATTGAGAGCAAGAGAGCTACTTTGTCAGTCTGAGTGTTGAAATGACTGGATCATAGTACAAGTGCACATATAGAGACAAATTTGAACTGGCTTCCTTCCCCAACTGTACACTGGTTGAGAGGGCTTTGGTGAGCGCAATAGTAACTCTCCTGCTCAGGTAGCTCAGCCATGCTGATCCCTGTGCTGTCATGTTTAGCTGTTTAACAAGTGATTTGGGGAAAAAAAGACAATCTACAATTGCACACTTGGATTCTGTTTGTAGCAATATTGAGAGCATTTGTAGGGCTTAACGTTTCATTGGGAGGCTATAGGGTACTAAAGCAGGAGAACTTGAATGAGCTGATTCTGCTACCTTTACCAGGTGAATATCTGATAACAAAAATGAAGCTTTATCAAGACCTGCAACTAATGCCAACTTACACACCTGTATGAATAACAATTTACTCTTCTGTTCTTATGGTAGTTTGAAACTCTCAAGAATCTAATTTTTAAGTTCAAGCCCCCCTCCCACAGTTTGCCCCTGTGAGAGGGTTTAGTGATGGTATGGACTTGATATCTTTTTCACCTCATGTGGAGAGTTTTCAGACAAAACACAACCATTCGTTATTGGGGGAAGGGGAAAATATTTACAAAGGTTTATTAACACACATGTATATATATATCTATATTGAATTAAATTTCTCCTTTTCTTCAATAGAAGTCCAAGAAGAAAAGAGAAAAGTCTTTCTGTCACTTCTCAGGCCCCAGTTCCTTCATTTCAGTTTTTGTGGCACTGGTTAGTGTCCTTCATTTTCCCGAGGCAGCAGATTTAAGTATGGCAGTCAGGATTTTGGTTCTTACTTTGTGGAAATTCCAACCCCAAGCCTGAGCCTTTGGGGGATTTCCTTGTAGATCTTCACTCCTCTTGGGGTAGAACATTGAAGGCAGCTTTCAGTTCAGTCTCACCAAAGCTCTTTTGCTCTGTCTCAGCTCGCTAGCATGATAGAAGCAGTAGCAGCAGAGAGCACGGCCATCTGCCCCGCGTTCCATCCTGGCTCAGCTCTCAGGATGACTCCAGGTTTTTTAGCTGCTTTCCCTTTCTCTCTCTAGCTGCTGCTGCATTTTGGGACTCCCTAAGGGTTTGGAAGTCCACCCCTCTTCAGGAAGTCTCTGGGTTTGGGAAAGTTATACAGTCTTACCCCAAACCAGCTCTCCTCTGTTTTCCTCTGTTTTGTTGCCAGTTCTCCCTCCTGCAGGAACATCTCTGCATTTTTCAGCTGGCTTCATGTTATCTCGTTGCTACTGGCTATCTTTTTGGCTTTCAACCATCGCTGTCTCTGTTCAGGGCTGCTCCGCTGCCGATTTCAATGTCTTCTGCTGCTGCTGCTGCTGCTGACAGTAAGGAAACTCTTCCAGCTCTTGATTACGGGACCCGGTCCAGCTTTGACACTATACCGGGTCTCCCGTAGCCTCAGCTGGGGGCCCCAGAGGGGCTCACTGGCCCCCTGCCTCCTCGTGGCTCAGATCATGGCTACCAACCTACCAAAACTATCTTCACCACCTTCTCTTCTGTTTCTGTGGGTATGTAATTTCCGTAGGGCGCATGTGAACCTTTGGTTGGTCCAGTATTATCAGTGGGGCAAACCATTATTGCCCCAGAGAAAAGGTTTTTCAAACCACCACAGTTCTTTAGGCATCCATAGATTCATGCAAGCAGAAGCTGCTTTAATGCCCTCTTCATGGTATCATAGAAGGGTTTGAGTTCAAAGGGGCCTTTCAAGATCATCTAGTTCTAACCCCCCCCATCATGGACAGGGACACGTTTCAGTAAACCAGGTTCCTCAAATCTCTACCCAGCCTGGCCTGGAACACTTCCAAGAATGGGTCATCCACCTCTTCTCTTCGCAACCTATTCAGTGTCTCACCATCCTCATCTTTTTCAGTTTAGAAGCATCACCTCTTGTCCTGCCACTTCAGCTGTCTTTCTCCATATTTTGTATAAGCCCACTTTTTATATAGAAAGGTCACAATAAGGTCACCCTGGAGCCTCATCATCTCCAGGCTGAACAACAGTAACTTTCCTAACTACTTCTGTTCACTTCATCTGTCTTCATTTCTGTTGAATAATTTTAGTCTCTACCAAGAATAGAAGCTGTTACTTTTTCTGTGTAATTACTGAAGTGATACAGTATACCTGGGGACCCCTGGTGGCCTAGTGGTTAGCATGCAGGACTCTCACCTCTGCGACCCAGGTTCGAATCCCAGCCAGTCCCCCGGGCAGATGGAGCCCGTTAGCCCTGTGAGGCCATCCATCTATGAGAAGGTCACTCTAAACAAACCTACGTCCTGAGGACTTCACTGCCATTGTCCAAGCTTGCTTGGCCCCGGCAGATGAACCTTAGGATTAAAGGGTGGGCTCAGTTCAGCGCAGGCTGTGTCTCACCTAAAAAATCCATTGCGCAGGCTGGAAAGGTAAAAAGACCTTTCCCCAAATCTTCGTTCACGAAGACTGGCCATTATTATTACAGTATACCTAAACTCAATTTATATCAATTTATGTTAGACTGAAGATCTTTGCATGTCTAAGGAATCGTTAATATGTTTTTAAAGGTAAAATTGAGTAGACTGTACCATTTGACAAGGTTTATTTCTTAGCTGTTTTTTCTGCCTCACTTTTTTTTCTGTAAGGTAACCATATCTCTTCAAGAAATTACTGTAGAATTGCTTAAGAATATGGCAAACTCTGTAGTTTTAAATTTGTTGTATGAGGTATATTTTTCTGGCAGACATCTGTACATTGACTAGAGATACTTGGATTGATTAATGTTCATACCACTTGTATTACTTAAATGTAGTGATTATATCCATAAATAGTTGCAATAATTTTTGCTTTTAGTGATTGTATCCAGTCTGTATGTACATTTTATGGACAGAAATTAGTTTAAATGATGTGATGCCAAATGACTTGTTTTGTGAGCTTAAATACATAAACTGTGACCACTCATCATGTTGCTATGGTGATTAGTGAATGCTCTAGTATATACGTTCATCCATAGGTTAGCTTTGAGTTTTAAAACTTCAATTAATTATTCTTGAAATGTTGCCATCTTTCTGATCAAAACACTCTGTTCCATTCTGTACCTCCTGCAATGTGAATTGTGTGCAGAGGAAGTAGAATAGCCACACCAGACATTTACTGTAGTAAATATTGCTTGTCAAAATGCAGTATTAACGAGACACAACATGCTGTCTTAATTCTGTTTTGAGTGTGTTCCACACAGAGGTTTATCTTCAGAAAACAATCCCTCAAATTCTTTTTTTTTTTTTTTTTTCAGGATTTGCTGCTTCTTGGAGCTACAGCCATTGAAGACCGCCTGCAAGCAGGTGTTCCAGAAACAATAGCCACACTAATAAAGGCAGAAATTAAGATATGGATTCTGACGGGTGACAAACAGGAAACAGCTCTCAATATAGGTATCCATCCTTCTGGTTACTCTGAATTTGTCTGATACATAGCAGGTTACATGCAAGATGTGCTGTGTGGGATTTTAAACAAAATCAGGCCTGCTTCATATAGGATGGTTCCTCTGTAGCAAGGCATGACTTTGGAGAAGGGGGTTTTTAGTGAAATCTTCACTATGAGTGTTGGGCTGTATTCAAATGTTTTGGTTTTTAAGGCAAAAGGGACATTTCTGCTCTTGATTAGGTGCAGTTCTTTTATGGAGTGAATATATGTAACTCTGCTTTCTGATGGCAACCGAAGAGCTCAACCAGACTAATGTTTCCGGTATTCTGTACGTTGTATGAAACTGATTTAGAGTTTCTTTTTTCTTACTGACTGCCTTTTGTAGGTTTAATAGAATTTGGGATATGATGAGAAATATGGTAATGCAAAGTGTGTAGATTACAGTTTCTTGCAAACTGTGTCTGTGAAAGGGGGTGGAAACTTGAATAATTGACCCTGATGGTACATCTGTTAGTACATTGTGATTGTTAGTGCAAGTGTGTTGCTGCTGATGCTCGCTATTGAGTGTGTGTGTGTGTATGGAGATCAATATTGGTTGTTTTATTGATGTATAATCCAGGTATCTTTGTCTCAACCTTGATGCATCCTGGTTTACAGGCTACACCCTTTGTAATGTGAAGAACCCCCAATGTGCAATGATGTGAAAAGAAAGTACAAATTCAAGGGTTTATTAGACAGGTGTGCTTCTGTACTGATGGAATACAGTGGTAACCTAATTAAGACATAGGTGTTTATCTGGTTACCTGTTTTTGCAGCATAAAACTGGAGAATTTTAAGCATTTGTAAGTTTAGGTTTGTTATTAGAAGCAGCCCTTAAACATTACATTCCTTTTTAGGTCATAAATGTGTCTGATAACAGTTTATATTCCCAACACCTATCCAACACCAAGATTTTTACTGTAGGAGTGGACTGAACTGGAGGTTGACATTGTAATTTCCATTCTGTTGCGATTAGATGCTGTGCTCTCTAGCACTTCTGCTACCGTGCTAGTCTTGCATTGGATATGCCACATGAGTAGGTCAAGTAAACACTCAAAACTCAAATCCTTCAGCCCTTTTCTCAGTGGGGATGCTTTCAAGGTGGGTAACCTGGGTAGCAGTACCTTGTACTGTCACAAAATGCAGCCATGGTTAAAATTTCTGAGCTGTGCCTATGCTGCCATTGTGCTTCATGCAACGCTAGTAATCTCCTAGGGAGTGGCTACTCAGGTCTTAACTTAGCAGTAAAGACTTGAGAAAGGAACATATCCTGATGTAAGCACATCCCCTACCATGCCATCCCATACCTCCCAAAAGTAGCATCTTTGGCAATATAATACCATGATGCTCTTGCATTCTTTTTGATGACTTTTCTCCCTGTCATAGTAAGTCTGCCCAGAGATGGGAAGACAAAATAGCACTCTGTGGTTATCTGACATCTCACATAAGTAAGTTCAGTTACAGACCATCACAGTTCTGCCAGGAGTAGCCTGAAATACTCCCAGACCTGTCTGCATGCAGTTCTAAATGTAAAAAGCTTAAGTTGTCCCCTTATTCATATAAATAGAGAGTCTTGAAGTCAAGATGAGCTCAAGAAGGCTAAAGAAATGTCTCCTTTAAGAGGAGGCAACCTATGCTACTAAGGTTCCATAGTTGCATTCAGATTTGCCAATTAGTCTGTTTAGGTGTAAGTTAAGGGGAACTTTAACAGCATATGTTGCTTTCTCAAGGTCATCTTGACTTCAAGATTCTCTTAAAACTGATGCTCTGTAACTGAACTTAAATTACCTTTAACAATTTCAGGCATTTTAATTTTTTTGTCTGGTTTGTTTTGTTTTCTTTTTTTCCTTTTTTTTTCTGTTTTGGTTGGCTTAGTGAAATTTCAGAATGTAGTCTACTTGACTGACTAGAATTTTTGTGTACTTCTCAAAACCAGATCAAGTTTCATGTGTCTTTGTATGTTGAAGTTGGTACCAAGAGATTAAATTAACTGTTAGAGTTGTAGAAGAAATAAGGTGGATGACTTAAGTAGACAATTGATTTAAAAGCTAATTATCTGGTTTGAATCACTTTATGCAGATTTTGCTTTCTTTATAAGCAGTAGTCAATGAGAGGAGGGAAGCATCATCTTTTGACTACTGAAAAAAAAGTATCTACAGATTTTGGCATAAGTACCTCAAATAAGTTGATATATTAACCAAGAGCAGGTAGTTTGAACACAAGTAAATGAGCTTTTTCTGATGGCTGTGAAGGAGACAAACTTCTAGCTTCTCTTTAAAACTGCTGGTTTGTTGTTTCTTTTATTATAGTAACTTGAGGAGAATAAGCATCTCTATTAAAACTTCTAAATTATCACTTTGTTTAATGTACAGTTTGGTACTAAAACTAATTAGCTTCATGTTCAAGTTAGCTTGTAAGTATAAATATGTGGCAGCCTTCCAGTTTTTGTATGTAACTCATTAAAACTGTAATAAACATTGAACTTAAAAAACACAACCCACATGTGCACTATGTTTCAGGTGTAAATATACTATCTGGGGAGTAAAAAGTATTTTCACTTTCTCATTGTGTGTGGAGGCTATCCTTATGGAGTCTTGCTTGCTGTATGGATATGTGTGTGTGTATTGAGGTATATTTGAGCTCTTGGCAGGTGTATCAAGGAGCTGGAGTACTTTGTTCTTCCAGCTTCCTCTTGATTCTTTGTTTTTCAGAATTTGCATATGTCTGTCTCCTGATTGCATTTTTGACTTCCCTGGAAAGTAGTCGTTGACCTTATTGTGGGGTGGCTGTATGCTTTCTACTCAGCCATGTGCCAATCAATAATTTTGCAGGTGAGGAGGGTGTTCATGATAAGCTTTAATGCTGATCAACCGTTTGAACTCTCTACCTCTAGAAAATGGGAGCTCCAGGTTCAGAAGCATCTTTGAGCACGACCTGCTAACAACTCCTAGAAGGGTTAAGTGTTCTTGTAGCTTCATCCTTTTTCTTCAATCAGTCTGCAGACTCTGGATCTTCATTGTCTTTCAGTGAGACAAAAACACCTATGACAGATTTCTGTTTACTACCATCCTGGTGCTCAGCAGGCTTACAAAAAATCAGAACTACTCTATTTCCAGTCATTAACTTCTTTAGGAACAGACTGGTTTTCTGGGAATGGGAATACAGTATTTTCTCAACAGTATCCCTCCCCTGAACAATGAATCAGTCTCTACAGTTGAGCTGAGTGCTCTTACCTAGTGTGTGCATTCATAGCTGTGAGCACTGCCTTAAAATCATAGAATGGTTTGGGGTTGGAAGGGACCTTTTGAAGACCTAGTCCAATCTTCCTGCTGTGGTCAGGAACATGTTTAACTAGATCAGGTTGCTTAAAACTCTGTCCAGCCTGGTCTCAAACACTTGCAGGGATGGGGCATCTGCAACTTGTCTGGGCAATCTGTTCCAGTCTCACCACCCCATCATAAAAAATGTCTTCCTCATGTGCAGTCTGAACCTACCGTCTTTCAGTTTCAAATGATTGGCTTTTGCCTGGCCACTACAGGCCTTGGTAAAAAGTCATACTCAGTCTTTCGTGTAAGCTCCCTTTATGTATTGAAATGTCTTCCCAGAGCCTTTTCTTCTCCAGGCTGAACAACCCCAACTCTCAGCCTGTTTTCATAGGAGAGATGTTCTAGCCTTTTGATAGTTTTTGTGGCCTTCCTCTGCACCCACACTAACAGGTCCATGTCTGTCTTGTGCTGGGAGCCCCAGGGCTGGATGCAATACTACAGGTGGGGTCTCGTGTTCAATTTTTCATCACTCATTATCCCCAGGTACTTCTCATTAGGACTGCTTTCAATCCATTCATCCCCATGTCTGCCCTGATTGATATTTGGGATTGCTGCAGCAAAGTGCAGGACCTTGCACTTGCCTTGCGCTTGTGGAGCTTCATTAGGTTCTCATAGGCCTACTGCTCAAGCCAATCCAAGTGCCTCCTGGTGGCATCGCTTCCCTCGAGTGTATCAACTGCACAATTCAGCTCTGTCTTGTCTGAAGACTTGCTCAGAGTAAACTCGATCCCATAGCATGTCACTGGGGAAGATACTGAATGGTATCAGTCCCAGAACTGACCCTTGAGGAACAGTGCTCGTTACTGGTTTTCATTTGTGTGTTGCACCACTGAGTGTAACTCCATGGGTGTTGAACCATTGACTTCAACTCTTTGGATGCAGGTGTGCAGCCAGTTCCTTACTCATCTAGCAGTACATCCGTCAGACCCATATCTTTCCAATTCTGAGGTGAGAACACTTCTTGATGAGCTGTGCTTTTTTACAGTTGAGGAAACTGAAGCAATGCCAGCACTCTTGCCTATATCCCTATGCAAGTTTGTGCCCTCCCTGAACACACAGGATAATCATTCTTGCCTCAGATGCTGGATTCTGTATGCCTGCAGTACCAATGTGCCTGTAGGCTATGATCCTGAACTCTGGTTATAGCAGTCTTTCTCCCAGGACACTTGAAGTCCCAGAAGTACCTGATTCATCTGCTTCGTGGACTTGTAGTCAGACTTTTAAATTACAGAGCTAGATATCAACTTACAGGTGTGAATTGACATTTTATATCTGGCTTTGAACCAGCAGCTGATCTTACTCTACTCAGAAGCATTGAGAAAACTATGTATATACGTTAGAGAATGTATTTTTGCTTGCTGTATTAGTATTGCCAGTAATAACTATTATAAAACTATTATAAAACTTTAAGATATTACTGCAAATGTCTAAGATTATTACTGGTAGTCTCACAGTTGCCAGCTACTTTGCTTTATACTAGTGTTGGATTTTAATATCATCTTAGCCCTGGAATTGTATATAATGTATAGATCTTCTATAAACCCTTGTTAGGCTTGGCTTACATTCTTCTATTCCAGTCTTGGTCTTCCTGTTTTAATGTGATAGAAAGATGCAAAATAGCCTCAATTGCAGGGTAAGTTTATCTGAATCCATGACTTCCAAGATGCACAGCAGAGCAACTCTGTTTTCCACAGTATCTTTTTTTTCTTCCTGCTTGACTTGTAGAATGGCATCTTGCTCATTTTGAAAGAGGTAAAGTGAAGCAGTGGTTTAGAAACTACAGCTTGCTATTGCAGCTGCTGTTCTAATCAAACACCACTAGAAAATTTTTTTGAATTAGTTATGCTGAGTTTATATGCTACTGTACAAGACTGTTGCCATTGCCTGGGGAAAGAATAACCCTGGTATGGAAGGAAGTGCTTAAATTTGTACTATTCTCTTTTTCCTCTCAATAAAAGTAAGGAAGTGAGTTTTCAGCCTGGGACTAACTTTTAAAAATGGCAAACTGACTTGAGAAAAAAGTCAGTGTTTTGTCTATACCTGCTGGAGGTTTGTTGCTCAGTTCTGTACTACTGCCTAAGACTTGTTCCCAGGCAGAATCAGAGGCTATCTGCAAAGCTTTCATGCTATAGGCTGCATTTCATTAGAATATATTTCATCCTTTTCCCAACAGGTGTGTGTGTGAGTTCAATGTCATTCTGTATTGCTCTCTGAAGCAGAAAGTAAACCTTGGCTCGTTAACACAACTAAGATGAAAATGTATTTGCAAGGTTGCACTTGATATTCATAGTCTATACAGCTGTGAAAATGGAGGACAAACTAAGCTTATGCAGATAATCAAACCTGCTGCCTGAGAGTGCCTGGCTGTGTGATGTAAGCATGTCTTCCACAAAGGAAAACAAGGGATTTACTTTCTTGACAGAAGTCACTCATGGAGGCATGTTAACCCTGGATTATGCCTACAAAACTAGCCCAATTATAAAAACTTTGTAGCCTGAGGAAATGATTTGCATTGCAATTGATGAGCCAGTATGGCCTTCCTAAGGAACCAAGAATCCCATAGAAAATGTCATGCCTCAGTTGTTCTGTTGCTGTTGTAAGATATGGAAAGAGGCACTTCATCTTTTCACATTGACTATACTGTTATGCTTTTGAATCAGTCAGCCTTACAGTGGTTCCTCACTGGGACATTAGTCTTACAGTGCAATAGCCTCCAATCTCCGTATGAGAAAAGAGACTTCCTAAGATCTCATTTTATTTGACAGCAGTTTCTTAAACTTGCTGTAATTCATTTCTATAAAAAAACGCAGTAGAAATACAAAACAATTCTATTGTATTTCTTTTTACTGTGTAATTTAGATGAGCAATAAAAGGTGTGTGCTTCAAATAAATTCATTCTCTGCTGTTTTATTAAGCATACGTGACTGTGTCAACTCCAAGTGAACTTGTATGTGCAAGTGAGCTTTTAGGATAAAGCAGTGAGATTGGTCTGATGCAAGTTTGCATTTGCCTCTTGCCATTAATATGAGTGGGAATTAAACCGTTTGTTCTACAAATGCTTATACTGTTATACATGTAAGAGAGGTTTTGGTTTGGGGTTTTTTTTTGTCTTGAGAATTTTCGTTTTCCAGTTTGGTGTCCTGGCAACTGTGCAGAACTGCCTTCTGACTGCTGCTCCAGACTATGGCAACTTGCTCTTTCTTGTTCTTTCATGTCCCAGTCCTACACTAAGAATAAGCTACTACAGTTACCTGATTCCGATAGGGCTTAGTAGGGCCTCTGTGTGTGTCATTGAGCTCTAGTTTTTAATGATGCTCAGAACCTTCCACACTGAACTCTCCAGAGTAAAAAATGCTTATGTAAGCCCAAGTGTGGGCTAAGGGGACTGGGTAGCACCAACTAATCCATGTGTGCACTTCTGGTCATCTGGCACAGTTGCAACTGTGCATTCAGATCTGTTCCTGTAGTGTGTGGAAGGCAATTCTGCCTCCAGTGTAGATGAAAAAATAAAATACCTTTTGCTGTAGGGCTGTAGGCTGTATTTGATTCATCTAGTTTACATGGTGCTTTCTTTAATTAAAACATCTCAAGTGATATATTTGAAAGTGCAGATAAAACTCAGCCACTGTTGCTAGTAAAATTGTCATTCTGGAGTGTGTCCTATGCACCAGTGTTTCCAGTAGTCTGTCTGATAGGAGTAACTGCTCAAAAAGTAAATTGTCATCTGATCTATAGATGCTTATCTCAAGGTTGAGCTCAACCTTAGATAGTCTTCCAAAAAGTAAATCCTTGTGTGTTGTTTGTTTTTTTTTCTCTTGCAGGGTACTCTTGCAGACTCATTTCACAGAGTATGTCTCTCATCCTGGTCAATGAAGAATCACTAGATGTAAGTAAGCAAATTCTGGTATAAGTCTTGGCAGAAGGAGGTGTTATTAACAAGATGGAAAGTTGTTGAGCTTTCTCATTGAATTTCTCTTGCTTGCCCTTAGGGGTAGCAAGATAAACAATTAATGCTAAAACACAGATGTGTTGTGCAAAATGTGCTCCTGAGGTCTTCAGTCACAAGCTGTACAAATCAAACTGAAGTCTCAGAACAAGAAATTTATGATGTTCATGGGTTTACTTCTGGTGCAAACTGGAAAAAACATGTAGCATGCCATCAGGAATATAATTAGGCTTTTAAGGTATGGATATAGGAGTAACATGTTTGAAGAAAGGAAAACCAAAAAATAAGCTAAATAAGTAATTTCAGTGTAATAAGCTATCTTCAGTATTGTATGGAACAGCTGTAACCAAACCGAGGCTTGAGCAAACTACATTGTGAGCTGCCTATGTACAGTAGCTTTTAAAACCTTAAATCAAAAATTGCTGGTAAATGATTGCCATGCTCCTCATCTATGTGTAAAAATTAACTAGAAAAATCATACACTTGTACATGAATCTTCTCAGAAGATCTTTTCCTGCTCTGTGTGTTTCAATGTCAGTATCAGTATTTGATATCACTTTGATTTCTGTCAGAGGTATTTGTAGAATAGATGAAAGGATCTATAATAGGCAGCATCCGACATTTGCATTTAGAGTTGGCAGTTCATTGTGCTTGACTGCATGGGAAATGCAAAGCTTGTATCTGAGTGTCAAAGGAGTTACTGGATACCTGCAAATCTGGTGGAAGTGGGTAATACTATTGTGGTGAAGTTACCACCTGATAAGTGTTATTTTCCAGTTGCCTTGATATGATTCCAATAATTTCATGTGTAGCAATGTTTGGTTACAGAATCTGGCTGTAAAGAGTATTGGAAATTTATCAGTAAACATAAATAAAGGAAGCTTTCAGAACATGAACTTGACCCTTGGCAAGTTTGATGACACCAAGCTGTGTGGTACAGTCGCTACACTGGAGAGAGGGGGTGCCATCCTGAGGGACCTGCACAGGCTTGAGAGGTGGGCCTGTGTGAACTTCGTGAAGTTCAGTAAGACCAAGTGCAAGGTCCTGCACCTGGGTTGATGCAGTCCCAAGCACAAGTACAGGCTGGGAGGAGAATGGATTGAGAGCAGCCCTGAGGAGAAAGACTTGGGGGTATTTAGACAAAAAGCTCAGTATCACCCAGCAATATGTGGCTGCAGCCCAGAAAGCCAGCTGCATCCTGGACTGCATGGAAAGAATCACAACTAGCAGGTTAAAGGAGGTGATTCTTCCCCTCTACTCTGCTCTCATGAGACCCCACTTGCAGTGCTATGTTCAGCCCTGTGGACTCCCAACACATAAAGATGTGATCCTGTTAGAGTGAGTCCAGAGGAGGGCTACTAAGTTGGGGTCTGGAGTGCGTCTTCTATGAAGACAGGCTGAGAGGGTTTGGGCTGTTCAGCCTTGAGAAGGGAAGGCTCTGGGGAGACCTTATAGCACCTTCCAGTATCTAAAGGGGACCTGCAAAAAGACTGGAGAGAGGGGCCTCTTACGAGGGTATTGAGTGATAGGATGAGGGGGAATGGCCTTACGCTGAAAGAGGGTAAGTTTAGATTAGGTATTAGGAAGAAATTCTTTTACTAGGGTGGTGTGACACTGGAAGAGGTTGCCCAGCAAAGCTGTGGATGCCCCATCCCTGGAGGTGTTCGAGACCAGGCTGGATGGGGCTTTGAGCAACCTGGTGTTGTGGAAAGTGTTCCTGCCTGTGGCAGGGTGATTGGAACTAGATGATGATCTTTAAGGTCCCTTACAACTCTAACCCTTCTATGATTCTATGAAAAAAAAAAATTGAGAACCACGGCATATCAGATGAGGAGAAAAAAAACCCTTATTGGTATACAGTTGATGGTCTTTTAAGTGAAGAAAATGGATGATTACATGATACATCATGAAGACATACCTAATATTGCAGGTGACTGCTGCTTTAGCTCAGATACCATATATTTTTCAAAAACATGAGCACAAGCTTGTGGAGCTTCTAAACTGGTTCATCAGAAATGCTTTGTATTAAATCAGTATTGTTTTCAAACTAAAGTAAATACGTTATTCACCAAAGTACTCTTGTTGCCCTTCTGAATGTAGAATTGAATTTCTTATAAGTCTGAGTAGGAGACTTGTGATTTGTTGATAATTGCTGCTAGTTCTTTTAATTCTGAGGTGTCTCTAGCTACTTACTGCCAATTTTTCAGTGTGAGATCTCCATAGTAGTATTTATTTTGTGTTACACCTGTAACAGAAATTTTGACTTCTGTTCAACCGAGCTTAAAATCTATCACTAGAAGATTCTCACACTGGAATTCTGTAGCATTATATTTAATATATTCCACCTCTGAAATCCATTAATACTAAAAATGAGTTTTTACAAGATCCAGGTTGAGCTTAGAGCCTTTAAATATTGATACACTTACCCCTTTGTGCAGTCCCTGTGTGACCTTTCCCCCCCACTTCTGCTCTTTGGCATGCAGTAGCAGGTGAGATGTGATCGAACAACTGTCTTGCCTTGGTTTTGAGAGCTAAATTTTTTTCGAAGTCATGTACTTCAGGAGAAAAATCAATCATTCAGGGAACTCCTGGGAATAGAAAAGACTAATCCCTAGCTTGATTCAGCTGAATTCTAGAAACTTAGCATAATAATCTGCAAATGTCTATCCCTTATAGACTTAACCAGATGCATACAGATACTCACTTGTTTTTTTCTTTTCCTAATAAAGGTTTCTGAAATGAGAATATTTTGAGCACCAGATTTACTTTGAATGTAATTATTGGACTCAGTTTCTGCTTAATTAAATTGGAACACCATAAAGTCTTACTGTGCAGCTCTTAACCTGGAAAAATTTCTTTCATTGGCATCTTTAGAATTTGAGTTGTGAGAGAAGTGAGAGGGGTAGCTGAAGAAGGGAAATCGGGTGATTCAGAGAGACCCCGTCTACTGGATATTACAGCCAAGGAATGTCGGGTGTGTTCCTCCCCATCAGTCCTGTAGAAAAAAGAGCTGGGAGCTATCAATTGCTTATCACATGGAGTTGTATTTAATAGTAGTGGAAGGGCAACACTGGAGGGATGCAGTTCTGAACTTGTGGGTAGTATTTTGCTATAAAGTAATTTTGTTGATTTAAATGGAGCTGCACAGTGAATGTGTTCTGCAGAACTCATGTGCCTGGACTGACAGTCTTCATCTGGCGTTATACACAGATGTGTAACCCACAGCAAATTGATACTCCTGTGTAAGAACTCTCAATGCTGGTGTCTGTTAATCAGATATGACTAAAAGTATAAGCAGAAGTTGGCTTCTGTTGCTTTTGGGATCCTGGTTCTTTTGCAGTAGAGAGGACATCTGTGCCTTATCAGCGATGTCATGCCGATTACTCCCAAAAAATGGGGGTGAAGTTATTGTCAGCTTTTCAGACTAAACCCAGAGTTACCTAGTACTCCAAATGCTCCAAAGCATTGGTATCATGTGTACTTCAGTCATAGTAAAAGATAATAAGGGATGCAGATATGGCTGGGAAGATGAGAACAAGCTCTGTACTACTAATACCTTGTAGATGCTTTGAAGTTACATCTTGTGTGTTGCATTAGGGAGGAAACTGGGATTTTTGTCTCTCCTGCTATCATGTGCCCACATGCTTTGACCAAGGAAAACTGATCAGTGCAGGCAAACTCCGTTTTAGCTGAGCATCAGCTCTCCTTCAGAGAGGCATCTGCCATGGTCCTCTACTTATGGCTAGTAAGTTACTTCGGTAGTTACCAGTCAGCCTGGAATAGTAATCAACTCTTCTGTGGACACTGGGGATTTGCCAAGGAAGCTAATTAGGAAAAGAATACATTTCTCTATTGTACCAAGCTTTTCTTATTGGTCAAATTTCTATTTTTCTTAATCTAGAAATAGCTATCAAGCCAGTAAGTGGTTACATAAGGAACAGTGTCTAGTAGTCAGATTAAGTCTTCAAAAATGTTAGGTAGAAGGGGTTTAGGGTTTTTCTTGTTTGTTTTTGAGGAACAAATAGGATCTTTCATAACTCCAGGTATTTGCTAATCTGCGTAGAAAGTTAGTTGTATGGATGTGGAAAATATACAGCTCTTCTTGTGAAAAGCTGCTTTGATTTGAGTGTGCTGTGTAGAATTAGAAATGAAAGAATATAGGTGTTACCCGGACCTGTAGGTTTAAATACACACAGGACTGTGTAACTTAAGTGTTAGATTACTATTTTTTCAGGAAGTAATACTAATAGGTTTGAGCTGTGAGTGGTGAATGAGTTGGGCTGGTATTTTTGTTTCATCCTGCTTTTACTTTTCAGAATTCATTAATTACTGTTCTCCCTTATCTGTGGCTCTGTTTTTTCTCTTGGTGTTTTCTGGCACTGTGATAGTTGATGTGGATGAAGTGGGGGTACTTGGACCTGAAGGAATGCAAGGACCTTTAGGAGTCCTAAGAGAAGGTTACTAAATAACTCTTCTTTCCATAGCTGAAATTTTGGGGGTGGGGGAGGCTTCTAAAAAACCAAACACACTATTTTCAAAGTTACTTTTACTTTCATATCTTGTTTTATGAGTGGTTGTTTTTGACAAAAGCCAGAAAAGATCTTGCAGATTTAAGCTGCAGGTACTTAGGGGGTTAATGCCTTGTCCATGCTATAGGACAGAATAGATCATATTACATAGAAATGGAAAGGAAGAGTGTGTTCCCTGAATTCCATCTAAAATTTGCTGTCTTGTTTATAAGAGTTCTCATATGTTAAAAGAAAATGACTGGGAATAAACCCTATTTCTCTTAAAACTGCTAATGATCTTCACATATGTGAAGGCTTGTATCAGCAGATGATCCTGAGTATTATCCAGATCTGTTTTCCGTTGTGTAGGTAACAATATAATAATGGCTTCAGCTGGATGGTGAAGGAAGTATCTGTGTGCTTTGAAGATGG